ATTTTCACTATACATCAGGAAGGAAATTCAGTGGAAAAGTAAGCTTCCTGTTCAGTCTTGACCTTCAGTTTATACTTTTCTTCTTAAGTACTGCTACTGGTTTCTTAATGCTATTTCTAGAACTAGCCTATCTATTGCCTATTTAAAATAACTCATTAATCACCTTTTATTTGAACTCCCATAAATGGATCTATGTAGGTTTTCTGTCGCTTTTTAAAATTTTGTATGCAGTAAAATACACACAAAATAAAGTTTACCATCTTAGCCATTTTTAAGTATACAGTTTAGTAGCACTATCTTTCACATTGTTGTGCAACCAATCTCCAAAACCTTTTCATCTTGCAAAACAAATTGTGTGTCTATTAAACAGCTCTCCTTTCTTCCCTACCCTCAACTCCTGGCAACCATCCTTTTACTTTCTGTCTCTCTGAATCATTGACTACCTCATATAAGTGGACTCATACAGTATTTGTCTTTTGGACATGGGCTTATTTTATTTAGCATAATGTCCTCCAGTTCCATTCGTGTTGCCGTGAAAGACAGGATTTCATTCTTTTTTTAATGGCTGAAATAGTATTCATCCATGTTGTAGCATGTCAGGATTTCCTTCTTCTTTAAGGCTGAATGATATATTCCATTGTATGTGTATACCAACATTTTATTTATCTAAATTTATATGCCAGTGGATTTTTCGGTTGTTTCCACCTTTTGGCTGTTATAAATAATGCTACTGTGAACATGGGTGTACAAATAACTTCAAGACCCTGCTTTTAATTCTTCTGAATATATATCCAGAAGTAGAATTGCTGGATCATATCATTATTTTATTTTTAATTTTTTGAAGAATTTCTGTTGTTTTTAAAGTCACTTTTGATGGTTTGTTCTTTGCTAGAAAATACATTTTTCAATTTTATCAGTGCAGAGTTGTATATAATACTTATATATTTTACTTGTACAATTATATAAAGGTTATATTTCCATATTCTCATGTAATTATCTTTAGTATCCATGTTTGTAACTGTTTACTCATTTCTCTTTTTCCTTGTTCATGTTTACTATTTTATTAGTCTTTAAAACCTAGACTTTGATTTTGTTTCCTAGCATTTAAATTTTTCTGTTTCATTAATTGTAGCTTTCATTTTATTTATATTGTTATTTCTTGAGGCAATGGCTTAGTTCATCTATTTTCAGTTTTTTAAAACAACTAAAGTATTTGTAAGGCTCTAAATTTTTTTTTTTTTTTTTTAGTTATAGGAATTTTTAATATATTCTGGTTATTCATCCCTTATGAGATACGTTATTTGCAAATATTTTCTCCCACTCTGTGGATTGTTGTTTCATCTTGATAGTGCCCTTTGTTATACAAAAGTTTTTATTTTGATGAAGTCCAGTTTATCTGTTTTTTTTCTTTTGTTGCCTGTGCTTTTTTGGTATCATATACAAGAAATCTTTGCCAAATGCAATGTTGGAAATATTTTTTTTCCTATATTTTCTTCTAGGAGTTTTATAGCTTTACTGTTAAGTTTTGGTCTTTGATCTGTTTTGAGTTAATTTTTGTATATGATGTAAGAGAAGGGTCCATCTTCATTCTTTTGCATGTGGATAATCAGTTTTCCTAGCGTCATTTGTTGAAAAGACTCTCCTTTCGCCATTGAACGGTCTCAGCACCTTTGTCAAAAATTGGTCATATGTGTGAGGGTTTCTTTCTAGGCTCTCTATTCCATTGGTCTGTATGACTGTGCTTATGCTGGTGCCACATTGTTTTGATTGCTGTAGCTTTGTAGTAAGTTTTCAAATAAGAAAGTGTGAGTTATCCAACTTTATTCTTTTTCAGGACAGTTTTGACTATTATGCAGTTCTTTGAGATGCCATATGAATTTTTGGATGGCTTTTTCTTCTTTTTTTTTTTTTTTTGCGAAAAATACCACTGGGATTTTGATAGGGATTGCATTGAATCTGTATATTGCTTTGGGGTAATATTGTTACCTTAACAATCTAGGAACATGGGATATCTTTCCATTTATTTATGTTTAATTTCTTTCAGCAGTGTTTTGTAGTTTTTTATTGTATAAGTTTTTCACCTTCTTAATTCCTGTATATTTTATTTTTGATGCTATCATAGGTGGAATTATTTTCTTAATTTCGTTTTTGTATTTTTCATTGCTAATGTATAGAAATCTAGCTGATTTTTGTGTGCTGATTTTGTATTGTGACTTTGAATTTATTAGCTCTAACAGATTGTTTTTGGTGTGTATGTGTCATCTTTAGGGATTTCTACAGATACATCATCTGTGAATAGACATAATTGTGCTTCTTTCTGTCCAATTTGAATGACTTTTCCATCTTTTTCTTGCCTACTTGCTCTGTCTAGAATTTCTAGTATTATGCCGAATAGAAGAAGAAAAAGTGGGCATCACCATCCTGTTCCTGATCTTAGGGGAAAAACTTGCAATCTTTTACTATTGAGTATGTTGTTAGCTATTGGTTTTTACTATATGGGTTTTATAATGTTGAGGAAATTTCTTCCTATTCCTAGCTTGAGTGTTTTTTATCATAAAAGGTGTTGAACTTTGTCAAGTGGTTTCTCTGTATTGATTCAGATGATCATGTGGAGTTTCTTCTTCATTCTATTAATGTGGTGTATTACATTGATTTTTTTGTTGTTGAATCATCTTGTGCCCCTGGAGTAAGTTTCACTTGATTGTGGTTTGTCATCCTTTTAATAGGCTGCTGATTTTGTTGAGTTTTGCATCAGTATTCCTAAGGTATATTAGCCTGTAGTTTTCTTGTAGTATTTTTTTCTGGCTTTGGTATCAGGGTAATGTTGGACCATATAACTAATGAGGAGAAATGTTCCCTTCGCTTTAATTTTTTGGAAGTGTTTGAGAAGCATTCTTTAAATTTTGGATAGAATCAACCAGTGAAAGCTATCTGGTCCTGGCCTTTTCTTTGGGAGCTTTGTGATTACTGATTTAATCCCTTTACTAGTTATAGTTCTATTTAGATTTTCCATTTCCTCATGAGTTAGTTTTGGTAGATTGTGTGTTTGTAGAAATTTGTCTATTTTATCCAGGTTATCCAAATTGTTGGCATATAGTTTTACATAGTATCATCTCATAATTCTTTTTATTTTTGTAAAATCAGTAGTGTCACCACTTTTTTTCCCTTTTTTTGGTGGGTTGGGCGGGGGTGTGGGGATGGAGTCTTGCTCTTTCTCCCAGGCTGGAGTGCAGTGACACGATCTTGGCTCACTGCAACCTCCGCCTCCTGGGTTCAAGCGATTCTCCTGCCTCAGCTTTCCTAATAGTTGGGACTACAGGCATGCACCACCATGCCTGTGTAATTTTTGTCTTCTTAGCAGAGATGGGGGTTTTACCGTGTTGGTCAGGCTGGTCTTGAACTCCTGACCTCAAGTGATTCGCCTGCCCTGGCTTCCCAAAGTGCTGGGATTACAGGCATGAGCCACTGCATCTGACCGTGTCACCACTTTCATATCTGAGTTTAGTAATTTGGTGTTCTTTCTCTCTGTCTCTCTTTTATTTGTTTCTTTTTTTGTTAAACGATCTAGCTAGAGTTTTGTTGACTTTTTCAAAGGATCAACTTCTGGTTTTGTAATTTTTCTCCATTGTTTTTCTGTTCTCTGTTTTCTCTCTAATCTTTATTATTTTCTTTCTTCTGCTAGCTTTGGTGTAGTTTACTCTTTTTCTAGTTCCTTGAGGTGTATAGTTAGGTTATTGAATGAGAACTTTCTTATTTTTTAATGTTTACAGCTTTACATTTTTCTTTTAGCCGTGCATTCACTGCATCTTACAAGTTTTAGTATGTTATGTTTTCATTTTCATTTGTCTCAAGTTGTTTTCTAATTTCCTTTGTGATTTTTTCCTTTGATCTGTTAACATTCACAAATTTTCACGTATTTGTGAATTTTTTAGTTTTTTATCTGCTGTTGGTTTTTCATTTCCATTATGTTCAGACAACATACTTTGTATGATTTCAATTTCTTTAAATGTATTAAGACTTATTTTGTAGCCTAACATATGGTCTGTTTTGGAGAATGTTCCATGTACACTTGAGAAGAATATATTATGCTGGTGTTGGGTGAGTTTAGTTCTTGACTTGTTACATTTGAGCATACTTGTAGGTGGAGATGCGAGATACTCATTTAGGAGAAAAGCCAAGTGAAGAAATTTGTTAATGAACTGTAAAGAGGGATTAACATCACAAGAGTAGGTAATTTTTTTTGAGAAACAAATTTAGAGCAACAGAACAGCCTTGAATATATTCCTATTTAGAAGGCTGAAGGTTGAATATAACCTGGTGTGTTACAAAAGGGTGGAACAATTTATCATAGACCAGAGCCAAGATAGTATAATATTTAGACTTTAAATATCAAAAAGAAGATATGATCAGCTGAATTCAAAGTTGAAGGCTAGGCGTGGTGGCTCACGCCTGTAATCCCAGCACTTTGGGAGGCCGAGGCAGAAGGATCACTTGAGCCCAGGGGTTCAAGACCAGCCTGGCCAACATGGTGAAATCCTGTCTCTACTGAAAATACAAAAATTAGCCAGGCATGGTGGCAGGCGCCTGTAAACCCAGCTACTCTGGAGGCTGAGGCAGGAGAATCACTTTGACCCCGGGAGGCAGAGGTTGCAATGAGCCGAGATTGTGCCTTTGCATTCCAGCCTGGGTAACAGAGGAAGACACCATCTTGGGGGAAAAAAAAAAAAGTTCAGAAAGCAGCTTGTTTGGGAAGGACTGTTTTTTTGTATTCATTTAATAATTCAATAAAGAAAATAGAAAAAGCATGTTTTTTTTTTTTTGATTTGAGAAACATGTAAATGATGACCACTACTTAAATTATGAAATTGAAAACTACAAATATAAATTATGCATTCTTTATAGTATGAGTTTTAGAGGCTGTTAATTTGCTATAATATTAGGTAAATCTGGAATAGAAGAAACTTCATATATTATCTTATCGCTATATTTGAATTCTGTAGAAGTTATTTCTGGACAGTCTACGAAAAGCTCTTGCTGGCCATGGAGGAAGTAGGCAGCTGACAGAAAGTGCTGCAATTGCCTGTGTCAAACTGTGTAAAGCAAGTACTTACATCAATTGGGAAGATAACTCTGTCATTTTCCTACTTGTTCAGTCCATGGTGGTTGATCTTAAGGTAACATGCTTATCCTTTCTCTACTACAAACTTTAAGAAAATGAAATGAATTTTCTAGCATAAGTATTTTGTCAAAGATAATTGCTAACATTAAAGTTCTGATTCTTTGTTAAGTTCATAGGACTTTCTTTTGTTTTTTCTGTGTTCATCAGCCTAAATGGATTGAGAATATGAAGAAAACACCATTTTCTTAAATGAGCATAAATATACAGACTTAGGTTTAAAATAATGTGTCTATTAGGATCTGAAAGGAACCTATATATAGTATAGGAGCAGTTGTATCAGACTGATGAACTACAGTATTGGTGCTTTGTGCTTCTTCTGGCAACTGAATTTTACTGCCATCTGTGTGGGTAATGTGTTGATGTTATTACATGTTAGTAAAGAAATACTGCATGGGCATTTAAAGGCTTTTGTTTTCTGTTGGGGTTTTTATAGAACCTGCTTTTTAATCCAAGTAAGCCATTCTCAAGAGGCAGTCAGCCTGCAGATGTGGATCTAATGATTGACTGCCTTGTTTCTTGCTTTCGTATAAGTCCTCACAACAACCAACACTTTAAGGTGAGAGCATTGGTTTTTATCTAACTATGTTTACTGATGCTGTTATCCTTTATAAACAAAAATAGGTTTACTTTTATCGGTATTTCTCACTATTATGTATTGATGTTCATTTCAAGACCTTAAAAACTTAGTGTTTTTTAAAAAAAAAACAAAAACGTTCTATTTGCTGTTTTTTTTAACTTCATTTGTATTACTGAGTATTTTTCTCATAGAAATAATCTGCTTTGTTTTTCTTTTTCTGTAGATCTGCCTGGCTCAGAATTCACCTTCTACATTTCACTATGTGCTGGTAAATTCACTCCATCGAATCATCACCAATGTAAGTCCAAAAGGTATTGCTAAATTACTAAAAAAAATTTTTTCGTTCTTTTCTTTGCATATTTCATTTTAAGAAATGCACTCTTGGTTTTCAAAAAGGTTCTGAATTTAGATGTATGAAATAGGAAAATTTCTCCACAGTGATTATATTTGATAATTGATAAATATTTGTATTTTTCATATTAAGTTTGACTTAATTTTTCATATTAAGTTTCATATTAAGTTTGACTGAAGGGACCATATTAAGGAAGATGGAGTTAATAAGATGCTTTGGAAAGATTAAATCTAAAATGTTTTATTCAGATCAGAAGTCCTTGAAAAAAACGCCACTGAAAATACAATTTAAAATTTTCATCCCAAAGCTTTTCAAACATATTATTTGAATACTCTTAGCCCTTTCACAGCATTTGATACATTGACTTGCCACCTTACCATTTAAATTAAAAGTAATAGTATTTATGTTGTAGTCTAGTATAGCACATTGACAAAATGATGGGACTGTATTTGATGGTACTTTTAAATCTTTTGATCCTAAATTCATTCATAGTGTAAAATTTTATTTTTCTTAAACGAAATGAAATATTAGCATACTTTAAAGTAGGTATTCACAAGATACAAAAGCATATCAGACAAAGTAAGTGAAATCATTAAAAGGTACTTGTGAAAGCTTCAACTCTGATGTGGAGACGTTAAATAGACAGCAAAACTTTATCAGATTTGGACTGTGGATTTTAAAAATTCTGTTCCTGTAATTATGAACAACCCTATTTTGAAAGTTCTCAGGTGTTATTTTCCATTATTCCACTTTTATCAAATGATAGATACTCACATTTATGGGTAAAATGGTCAACATTTTCCTTCCTTAAAGGAGGCTTTAATCATTGATAACTTAGTATATTTGTCCTGTTTATAATCAAATTCCATTTTAAGACTGTGCCTCTGGTGAGTTGAAAATAACTCTTTACCCTCATTTGCCCTGAATGTTGTATTTATTTAAAATAAATGCAGCCCATATTCTATCCATTCCTGCAGTGGAAAATTCACTATTGATAAAGCTATTTGGTGACACATTTAATTTTTCTCAGCAGGTGTTTAGTGAGCATTTTGGGAGGACAGTCCTTCGTTGTGCAGGATGCCTTGGGCCTTGCAGGACCTTTAACATCTCTGGCCTCACTTCATTAAATGCCATTTGTGCTGCATCTCCCCCATCCCTAGTCATTATGAACAAATAAATATGCCTGAAGGAATGATACTTCCTCTCTTAGTTGAGTATCACTGAGTTAAATTGTAGGTAGAAGTAACATTGAATATGCTTTGTTCCAAAAGGGAAAGTTTAATGAAGATTGTAAATAAGGTATGTTTGTATTAAAAACTTTAAAAAAATTACTGTACTTTTGTCAGCATAATGAGCCAGGGCATTGTACCTTAAAGGTTTACTTTCAAGGCCATTGGAAAAAAAGATGATTTCCACCCTGAAGTTTATGTTTAACTCAGAAATAAGACATTATTGCTTTTTTCTGCTGTGGCTCAGAATACTAAAAATATTCAAAGAGTGGATAGCTTTACATAAGTGCTTAAAATTTGTTTATAATAAACCCAAATATATACTTTTTTGATATTTTGTGGCTAGTTACTTTAATTGTGAAATATTTTTGTCTACAATTGACTATATAGAGCACTTTCAAGCATGGACTTGGCACTGCTGTAAGTGGCTGAGCTGCTCCTTTCTGGGTTCCAAGCATGCCTGGAGTGGTGCTTCATGCATGTCTCAGTGTACTTGGTGAAAGTGGCTGTGCATCCTCTTCTACTCTAATGAGCACTGCATGTGTGGAGGGTGGAGTGTGTCTGTATCAGAGATCAAGTTCTATGAAAATCTGTTTTTATAAAGAAACTACATTGATTTTAAAATATTAAATATCAGTAGCTTTTCAATGAAATAACTTGAAAAGGAACATAAATATTAGTTCAAAGTATCTTTTTAAATCATGCCTTGGGTAGTGATACTTTTTTATTATAGATTGTGTGAGAAATTGTTTCTCCTTAGGATATTTTCCCCCTTGGTTTGAGGCTAATCGCTATTGAATCTGAAGTACTTTTTTGGTTGAAAAGGACTATTTATAAAGTGACTATACAAATTTATGAGATTGACTATTTTAGAGTTTCATTGAAGACATTTATTATGGAAATATTTTTGTCTTGAAAAATCACATGAAATTATTCTTAGATATTTGGACTTCTGATCTTCATTCATAGTGTAAATTTTTTTTCTAATGATTCTTGGTTCAATGTACCTCATAAGTTCTCTTCTCCCATGGTTCTTTAGCCAGTCCGCACATTTTTTTTTTAAAGTATCACGTTCTCAAATAAGATAAAAGTTTTACTGATGTGTATTGAGGGTTTGTGTAGAAGTAGTAAGATGTTCGGAGTTCTACTTTTGTAAAACGTACTCATACTCAGTTCATAAGTACTGAGTTTAGATCTAAAATATTCCAGCATTTCTTCTTAGAAAATCTTAAAATATATCCACTATTTGATTCTTATTGTAATGCAGGTTCCTAGCAGTTGCTAAAATAGTAGTAGTTGTACTGTCCTCTTTTTTATTATGATGTGCCATAAGAGATGAATTATAGTTGTAAGATCTATGTTATATAATCTTCATAGACTTCCTTTAGGTTAAATTAGATACGTAATTGGGAAATTTAAAAAGTAGTATACACACTTATGAACCAATTATCTTAGCCATCACTGGTACATGCTATAGCTGGTATATTACGTATTTCTGTTTTTTTCCTTATGACAATTGATCATAATTTACATATAGATAGTTTACATACTGAAAAAGAGATGATTTCTTTGTACTGAGAGGTTGTAGTTGAAAGAAATTATTTCCAAGGCATTTGAAAATTATTTAAATCTCTTGAGGAATTGCCACATAATTTGTTCATATTATGTCAGGGTTGCCAATTTGGCTATAAACATGATATTTTCAAGGAAAAAAAGAGTAAGTCTACTTTAATTGACTGGTGTTCCGGAAGGACACATTTAGTAACTGCTCAAAATACTAAACTTTTTTGCCAAACACATGATGTCTAGTTTTTCATGCTTATTTTATTTGAAAATGTGTCTTTTACTTTAAAATGAATATATTATGAAAAATGAAAACTATGAAAATTACTAAATCTTAAGCCTAACGTTATTTTATATGGTGCACCTGGTACCACAATACAGTTTAAAAGCTATTTTTAAAATGACACAGTAATTTGAATAGGATGTTATATGGGACGTCTTTCTTAGTTTATCAGTTTCTGACAAGATCTTATGAGATGTGTTGGGTGAGGAAGACCCTTCACTCAATGTACATTGCTATTCAGCGTTTTGTTACTTTAGGCTGATTAACACAAGCTGTATAATTTAGTAAGTATAAGGAAATCAAGTTGCATTGGTTGCTTTGGGCAAGTCAAAATTGCAGAGAGTTGGAGGAATCCATTATACTATCAGACTAAAAATTGATCATGTGTAGGAACTAGATTAAATGAAGTAGGAGTTGAGGGAAAAGTGTAAACAACCATACTGTCCCAAAAAAGCATTTCTTCTCTCCCAGTTTTGGGATTCCTCCCTGAATGGATTTCAGTATTCAAAATGTGTATCATAAGTTGGTTTTATATTTTACTATCCGGCGAGCAGGATTTGTAATCCAGTTTGGGTTAAAGTAATGTAACTTGATGCTATTCAAAATATTCTGAGAATTCCAAGTGAAGAAATTAAAATGTTGACACTTGAATTAGCTTAGTTTTGAAAAAGAAAAAATCTGGGAATGAGACGTGAGAGATGTGAGGCTATTAAATCTCTCTTATCTACAATTTGAATGTGTTATTCTTCCAGATTTTTTTATAAACATCTGGAGTATTATAAATTAGAAGCCTACATTTTAGGTCATTTCATGCATACTCTACATATATAGTGAAAATTCATCCAGTCAGTTTTGTATTAACTGATAGACTTTAAAGATAATAGTGATTTTCATAATTGTCATTTTTTAATAATATATCAAGTCATTCATTTTAAAGTTAAAGATACACTTTCAAATAAAATAGGCGTAAAAACTAGACATCAAAGCAAAACAGGTTAAATTGAAATAGAAAATACACGAAATAATTTTTTAAAAAATGTTTCGCTAGGATTAGTTTGTCTTTGTTTATGGTAATTGTTAGTCTCCCATGTATCATGTCATCATTGCATATCAATTTAAGATTATAGATTTACTTAATAGTTTTATTTCATTTACTAATTTCATGTTGTAATTATCATTGTTTTCTGTAAACATATAAGTAATGGTTTCCCACATACACTTTTAATATTGTGTTGAACCACTAATCACTTTTAAAGCTTTGATAATAGCATTCTTACCTGGGAAAATATATGCCATTTATGCGTGTGTTCCAGAAATTGTAAAACTTGAAACTTAAAAAAACAAAAGAAGAAGATCGGCTACAGATTAGCTCTCTGAAGACTTTAGTTTTCAAATTCACTGGCTTATCATTGAGAAAAGATAGTCTCACATGCACATGCTCATGAAGTGGGCAATTTGTCTCATGCTCACTATTATGTTTTATAATATAATGTGTATGAGTTAGTGTTTGAATTAAAGACGTTGTTTGAAGACTTTGGAAATCATGGTGTCTGTTTGCATGGTCTTAGAAACTTCCTGACAAAAAGATAAAACTACAGTGATAAACACAGTATACAACTCATGTAATTTTGTACTTTCTCTTCCTTATGGTCTTTGTTTTTCTCTAGTCGGCATTGGATTGGTGGCCTAAGATTGATGCTGTGTATTGTCACTCGGTTGAACTTCGAAATATGTTTGGTGAAACACTTCATAAAGCAGTGCAAGGTTGTGGAGCACACCCAGCAATACGAATGGCACAGGTAAGATAAATCATGAATTTTGAATCTCACCTCCTTTCTATTGCATTTTTTAGTGTCTTTATCCCATTTCTGCTGCTTTGATAATTTTAGAGAATTGAAGGGGTCCTTCATTTCTTCTAAATGTTGTGGTATGTTGTATGTAGAATATTGCTGAATACTAGATAATAATGTTTATTTTCCACTGTTTCCATGAGTTGAACTTACTTTTCTTAGATAAATGTTCTCACAAAACACTGAAAGTCTTAATGAATGTCACCTTTTTTTCTGTTTTTAAAGTTTTTTTCTCTTTAAAACTTTTGAGCAAAAATATTTTGATTAGCTTCTCACCTTTTGGGGATGAGTAAGGGAAGCTGACTCCTGGGTTAGAGTGAATGTTGCTGCTAATGCACATTTTAGCTCATTGAATAGTGACTATTACATATAAGAAATGAATAAAATTTAGAGTTTTTGTATTTAAAATAAAAATATTTTATATTTCAACAAATATGCTTTGAGCCTTTACAAATGATAGGTACTTTGATACTGACATTTGACTCTAAACTTAATAAAAAGCAGACTTAAAATTGGATATTCTCACAGATTATTACTCTTAGTATGGAATTTAAAAACTCCTATGGAATCAATTTAAAAAGATAATTATAAGATTGTGGAAGTCATTTTTTGGTGTTTATGTATAGCAAGAGTATTATACATGGCAACTCTTGACATTGATTGGTGGTGCTTTGTCTTCTGCTTCTTATTTTCTATTCTTATTGGCTGCTGTCGCTCACATGATCAGATGCCAACCAGTCACTGTTTTGCATGGCAGTGGGCTTCTGTGGCTGTAAGTATGACCCATTGTAACTACCTCAGAAAAGTCCTTGGTTTCTTTGACTTTTCTGTGTATAGTTACCATTATAGTCACATTTTGTCATTTCAACTGAAAATATAGCATGTCTTCACCTGTTGGTTTTATCTAGTAAATTAGTCATTTCACAGTTATGAGAAATTTAAACAGCTTCCTCCCTGACTTGCTTCTCTTTTTCTAATTCCCCTTAGTCAGTGAAATAATTTGGTTTTATACAGTTGTGGTTCACTCTTATCCAGTTGTCAGTAATTATTTCTGAGGATAGTTTATCTTAGATGTTCAAATACAGAAGTTTTTTTATGTCATATAATTTGGGATTATTGAGCCTAAAAAATATAGCTAAAAGATCATGACAGTGATGTTTCCTTAAGTAAACTTTAAAATGCAAGGTTACCTTTTAGTTGACTTTTTGTAATGCCAAGTACTTCATTTTTTTTTAAGTTGAAAAAATTTTCAACACAGGTATAAGTTAATTGGAGGTAAGCATAAATAATAGCTGCTTAAATGTTATTTAACAAGACACTTTTTAAAAATCTTTAAAAACTACTTGAAATAAGTTGTTTAAAAGTTATTTATTCACCTGTTTATTCCAGAGACCTTCTGGGAAATTAGAAGTTTATTTGACTTTTTTGTTTTAAGTTTACTACCTTTTCTGGTAGAAAATTAATGGCCTCCAATAATAGGGCTTGGTGGAAGGTTAATATTCACTTCCTATTTAACTTCAACATCCACTTTACCAGCTGCCCATGATTTTCTGTGAATAAGGACTAAAAATGAAACTAAATGATTATTTTGAACAGAGGTAAAATTTGATTGGTAGTCTGAATATGTCCTCTACACTTAGAAGTTATTTTACTTCTTAGCCCTAGTTGTAAGCTGATTCTCAGAGCTACATATTATTTTACTGAAAAACCATAACTAGAGAGGATTTCCTCTTTTGGCCCAAGGACCCCTGTAATAAGAATTTAGTTTTTATTTCTAATTGTTTTCTGAAAATATCAACATACATTTAATTTTCAAAATCATTCTTAAGCTGTTTATGTTTTTGAAATGTTATATGTATGTATATTTGTACATAATGACTAAAGGACAGCTTTTGAGCTGATATATCCAGGAGAGAGAATAAATAGCAAATTTAATATGAAACAATTTTTAGAATAAGAAAATTTTAGGTTTTGAATGGCTGTTAGAGTAAAATCTCACCCTTCATAAACTTGGTGAGTTAACAGTCAGATAGCTAGTATGGAAGTATTGACCTTCTATTTGCCAGGCAAAGGTGCTAATGCCAGGGAAGCATGACAAACTAAACATACACAGTACTTCCCTCACCAAGACTCCAAGCAAAAGGCTTGTAGCTTTTGCTTGAAAATGCCTAATGAAGAACTCACACCGGGTACAGTGGCTGACGTCTGTTAATCCCAGCACTTTGGGAGGCCAAGGTGGGCAGATCATCTGAGGCCAGGAGTTCGAGACCAGCCTGGCCAACATGGCAAAACCCCATCTCTACTAAAAATACAAAAATTAACCAGGCGTGGTGGTGCATGCCTGTAATCCCAGCTACTCAGGAGGCTGAGACAGAAGAATCGCTTAAACCCGGGAGGTGGAGGTTGCAGTGAGCTGAGATGGCGCCATTGCACTCCAGCATGGGCAACAAGAGTGAGAATCTGTCTCAAAAAAACACAAAATAACTCACTACAGGTGGCATGGAGTCTGGCAACACAGGCAAATATATATAATAAATGGTTTACAGATAATACCTAACGTCAGAGTTTCTTACTGTTGGCACTATTAACATTTTGGACTGGATAACTCTATTATAGGGAGCTATACTGTGCATTGTGGGATATTCATTCAGCAGCATCTCTGGCCTCTACCCACTAGCTGCCAATATTTCCTTTACCCCCCAGCCCTCCCCGTTATGAAAATCAGACATGTCTCCAAACATTTCCAGATGCCCCCTGGGGGACAAAATCACCCCCAGTTGAGAACCACTGTATTACAGAGTGTGTTCAGTGGGTTGTCCCTCATTTGTATTGCCTCAAATGATTTGAGACTCTGATAAACCTGAGCCATTAGCTTGCTTCAGAAGTAGCAATCAAGGAGTTCTATTGCAAAACAGTGAAAGTAAAATAATACCTGCTTCAGGGTTTTACTAACACTTTGTATTTTGGAGAGACAAGTTACTTGTTGGAAGGAGCTAATTATTTGAAAATTTTCTCTTCGACCAAGATAGAATCCTGTCTCTGTCACTTCCAGCCATCATTGATCCTCTTTCTTTTGGAACTCTGGAATACTTCTGATTCTTCCACAAGGTGTCCCTGCAGATATTTGAATAAGGTTATTCTGTACTCCTAGAATTCTTTTTATTTTATATAGTTTTGGCATTTTATTCTTTTAGCTGTCTCTTTTTTTTTTTTTCTTCTTGAGACAGAGTCCCACTCTGAGTCCCACTCTGTCACCCAGGCCGGAGTGCAGTGATGTGATCTTGGCTCACTCCAACCTCTACTTCCCAGGTTCAAGTGATCTCCTGCCTTAGCCTCCCGCCTCACTGGGGTTACAGGCACCCACCATCATGCCGGCTAATTTTGTATTTTTAGTAGACCATTTAGCACCATTTTGAGCAGGCTGCTCTTGAACTCTGACCTCAAGTGATCCACTTGCCTCTCTGTCTCCCAAAGTGCTGGGATTATAGGCATGAGCCACTGTGCCTGGCCTCTTTTAGCTCTCTTTGAAAGTGTATGTGTGTTTGTTGGGTCTGTTTTTATAGCTAAGGAAACTGAAGCTTAAAAAGTTATATTAATAACAAATGCATGGTTAATGAATCGTCAACCAGAGTTAGTTCTGAGGTTTTTTGACATTCAGTTCAGCATCTTTATCAGGTTCTTTAGTTGTGCTTCTTCACTAGCAAGTTAGGTTGATGAAAGCATTAGCTTTGTCTGGCTTATTCAACACTGAATCCCTAACTTTTGAACAACATCTGATATATATTGGGCATTTAGTACATGTTTGCAGAATGAATGAAGGAATGAATTTCTTACTTGATCTGGTTTCAAAATCCTCCTCCAGGCCATGTGCAGTGGCTCACGCCTATAATACCAGCACTTAGGGAGGCCGGGGCGGGCAGATCACTTGAGACCAGGAGTTTCAGACCAGCCTGGCCAACATGGTGAAACCTTGTCTCTACTAAAAATACAAAAAAATTAGCCAGGCGTCGGGGGCAGGCACCTGTGGTTATAGCTACTCAGGAGGCTGAGGCAAGAGAATCGCTTGAACCCGGGAGGTGGAGTTTGCAGGGAGCCAAGATTGTGTCACTGCACTCCAGCCTGGGCAACAGAGGGAGACTGTCTCAAAAAAGCAAAAACAAAAAATCAAAAACCAAAAACCCTCCTATATCTGATTTACTTCTCTTCTGGAAAGACCAACCTGACAAAAATTTTTAAAATTAAAATGCCATATTAAGATCTGATGTTAGTGATACAGATATAATACTATGATGTAATAATTGATAAAAGCTATTAAACTGTTGTGTTTGTATACCCTGTTTCTATTAATACAATCTAAGATAGTATTATTATTTTATATTGATGTTTTAGTTATTTAAACTCTGGCCAGTTTTATATGAATGTTGAACCATAACTTCCTTTGTACTTTTGTAGTATTTTTTAATATTTGAAATGTTTGTCTTAGCACTAATTTTACTATTTGAAAACTAACATGTCCTGCTTTCATAAAATTCAAAACTGCCCATAAGAGATGTATGAATTTTCACAAATATTTGTTATTTCTCAACATTTTTTATCTTAAATGGCATGCTGGCTTACCAGATCTTTCTTACATGCCTGTTATTCAGTCACATGGTCTAAATTAAAAAGTGGTTTGGGCCTTTAATAGATACCTGAAGACTCTGGTTCATGAATTTCTTCCCAGACATGATTGCCTCTCATCTTTGGCCAGATCACATGTACCAGCTTGTATTCCTAATAATACCTGCAGTATAGAAGATCAACTAATGAATGAATGAATGTTTTTCTTACATTTCTAATTAAGAAACACATTGCTTCTTTAGCATGTTGTTCCTGACGTTCTGTAACCCACTAAAATTAAAAGGTATTTGAGATGAATTATATTTATTGGAATTTCTGAAGTCATACGTTTCATATTAGGCAGCCATGTTGGAACAGAATTTACATGTTGATACTTGGGATTAAGAGGTGACATAATTAAACTAATATAGTCATACATCACTTAATGACAGGGACATGTCTTGAGAAATGAGTGCATCCTTAGTGATTCAGTCATTGTGCAAACATCATAGAGTCTACTTACATGAACCTGGATGGTTATATAGCCTACTACATACCTAGGATATATGGTCTAGCCTATTGCTCCTAGGCTACGAACCTAGGCTAAATAACATGTTACTATACTGAATACCGTAGGCAGTTGTAGTACAATGGTAAGTATTTGTTTATTCAAACAGAAAAGATGCAGTAATAACACAGCATAAAAGAAAAAAATGTATAGGACACTTAACACAAATGGAGTTTGCAGGACTGGAAGTTGCTGTGGGTGACTCATTGAGTGAGTGTTGAGTGAATGTGAAGCCTAGGACATTACTGTACACTACTGTAGACTTAAAATTTTTTAAATTTATTTTACTTTTAATACTTTTGCATTTTTCTCATACTCAGGATCTATACTGTAGACTTTATAATCACTGTACACTTAAGCTATATCAAATTTATTAAAAAATTTTTATTTGATAATTAACTTTACCATAGCTTTTAAAACATAAACTTTTTTAAATTTTGACTCTTGTAATAACATTTAGCTTAAAACACATTGTACAGCTAGCTGTATAAAATATTTTTCTTTATATCCTGTAAGTTTTTCTATTTGAAAATGTTCTGTTTTAATTTTTATTTTGAAAACTGTTTTAAGATCTGAGACAGAAACATACACATTAGCCTAGGCCTACATGGGGTCAAGATCATCAGCGTTACTGTCTTACACCTCCACATCTGCTCCCATTGGAAGGTTTTTAGAAATAGCGTGTGGAGCTGTCATCTCTTGTGGTAACAATGCCTTCTTCTGGAATACCTCCTGAAGGACCTTCTGAGGCTGTGTTTCATAGTTAACTTTTTACCTTTAAGTAGGAGTATAACAATACAAAGTATACTATAGTAGGTTGGGCCTGGTGGCACACGCCTGTAGTCCCAGCACTTTGGGAGGCCAAGGCGAGTGGATCACCTGAGGTCAGGAGTCGAGACCAGCCTGGCCAACATGGCAAATCCCCTTCTCTACTAAAAATACAAAAAAATCAGCTGGGCGTGGTGGTGCGCGCCTGTAGTCCCAGCTACTCGGGAGGCTGAGGCAGGAGAATTGCCTGAACCCGGGAGGCAGAGGTTGCAGTGAGCCGAGATTGCGCCACTGAACTCCAACCTGGGCAACAAAGTGAGACATGGTCTCAAAAAAAAGTATATTATAATAAATACATAAACTAGTAACAGTTACTTATTCTCATCAAGTATAGTATACTACACATAATTGTATGTGCTATACTTTTTTTTATATGACTAGAAGTGAAGGTTTGTTTACACCAACATCACTACAAACAAGTAATGCATTGTGCTTGGACATCAGTGATGGCTGTATCACTAAGTGATAGGAATTTTTTAGTTGTGTTACATATTGTCTATCATTGACTGAAATGTTATGTGGCCTATGACTCTGTTTATTTTTTTTGAAAATGATTCTTAACTAAGGAAAAATTCTGATACCTGCCAGTTGTTCTCTGATCTTATGTGCCTGTGCAATGACTGCATCAGGGAAGAGCCGCTTGATAGTTACACTTAGTTACATCAAAGTAAATAAATTTGTTTGATCAAAGTTTCAGCTTGATCTAAGGTGAAACACCTCAACTTAAAGTGAGGGAAAAATACAGTTGAAAGAGAGCAAACAGTAAAACCAGAATTTATTAAATCATTTAGTAAAACATTTGCTTTGGGGTCAGGGGGCAGTTATAAAAGCAAACTATTTATAAGTTTTGCTATCTCTCTTCTGTAGTGACATTCTTGAGTATAAATGTGTGCATTAAATAGCTAGTCTTCCCCCCTGAGGACTAAAACCCTTTGGTGTTCTTGGGTGTAATAACAAATGCATATTTCACTTGAACATTGAGGATAGTTCATTTGTGTTGTAGATATGCATGTCTGCTTCTTAACTTTGAAAGACAACCTGTTTACTTGGACATTTGTGTTATGGGTCCACAGTTGGTATATAGTCTATTATTTCTATGTTACATATATGTTTACATAAAGGCATTCATGTCAAAAGCAGATAGTTTTGTGTTCTTTTCAAGAAAAAAGGGAGGAAATGTTTTATAATAGAGAGGTGATACTAGCTCTAGAATATAATTGTTGGATTTTTGGTTGAAAAACATCTATAATTATTTTAGTTCATTGTATGTCTCTATAATTGAAACATATTTTCTGTAAGTTTACCTTTCTCAGAGTTCTTTCTGTTTCATCAATGTTCTTTAGGCAAAATGCATGCATTCTGTAACTTGAAAGAGGTGGAGTGCCATCAAAGGGAAAAGCAAATTTTACAATTAAACTAGTAAATATAGAGTAAATTGCCTATATAACATATTTCGTTAATTCTAAGAAGCACTTATTTTTACTCTTCTCTAAGATTGGGAGTGTATCTTATTTAAAATGTTGTCCTACAATTGACAGCAGTGTTTCATTCCTTTTGGGACATCAAATAATGATGCATCTTACAATTGATAATGTTGTAGAGTCTATGAAATACTTGTATATATGTGTGGGGAATGTTTGTTAAATGAATTACCCAGTAGTTATATTTGTGAGAACTATAGACCAAATATTTTTTCCCTTATTTTGGAAAATAGTTTTTCACATAGATGTTTTACAACTTGATATTAAGCTTTTAGTATTGTAATAGATTTTCATTGTTTTATTAGGTTGATTTAAAAAATAACATAAATGGTGCAAAAACAGTTTTCATTGTTTTGTTAAGCTTAATGATATTGACTTTATGTTTACTATTGGGTGTTTCTACTTATACCACACATTTGGTAGTATAAAAAGTAGCTTTTTTCAAAGTTTTTAAATAATTTCTTTTAAAAGGTTGGATAGCTATTATCCTGAGTCTTATGTCTGATACCATGTTTTTGTTTTGTTTTTAGACTCTTACATTTAAAGAAAAAGTAACAAGCCTTAAATTTAAAGAAAAACCTACAGACCTGGAGACAAGAAGCTATAAGTATCTTCTTTTGTCCATGGTGAAACTAATTCATGCAGATCCAAAGCTCTTGCTTTGTGTAAGTATTTTTTATGAAATGTCTCAAAATGATCGCACTAAGTTAATTTGGTTTAGCTGAAATGCCAAGACCTTGAGGATAATTTCTAGCTCAAGAGCACTTACTGATCCTTTCTGATCATACCTGAAAACTAAGACATCACTAAGAAAATTAATGTATAATGAATGCTAACATAATTAGATCAGATTCTTAAGTGCCCTTACCATTTCTTAACATTTCTCTTTCTTCTTAATTTCCCTATCATTATACTAACGTACTTTGATGAGATCTCTGTTCTCATCCTATTACTAGGTTATATATTACTCAGATATAATCCTGGTATGGGGGATAGAAGTGACCATCAATCACAGTGCTGTCTACATCTACATCATTGGTTTAAAGAATCTCCAGTTGCTGTTGCCAGTTTAGCTTTTCTCTCCCCCTTTCCTCCTGTTATCAGCTTTCTGTTATTGGCTCTGCCCACAAATACTGTATTGGAAAGAGAATGAGGTGAAAATGGGTGTGGTTAGTACTTGAATTATTGTTATTATTATTATTATTATTTTGAGACAGGGTCTCGCTCTGCTTGCCAGGCTAGAATGCAGTGGCACAGTCATGGCTCACTGCAACTTCAAACTCCTGGCCTCAAGCCATCCTCCAGCCTCAGTCTCCCCAAGTGCTGTGATTACAGGCATGAGCCACCGTGCCTGGCTAGTAGTCAGTTATTGTCATAACTACTCTTATTGCCTCAGATGGTATTAAATTTCTGAGAACATCACTCTGGTACACAGAGTAATTAGGAACAATGCAAAATAATAAAAATTAGTCATAGTGAAGTGACTAACAGCATGGACACTGGAGACTACTTACTAGCTATATGATTCGGGTGACTAATCTTTCTGTGCCTTCGTTTTCTCATCTGATATATTGGGATCATAATAATTCTATCTCAGAGATACTGTTAAGAAAATGGAAATAGTACATAGAATGTTTTTAGGAACAATGCCTGGTACATAATAAGCACTAAATAAATGTTAGCTATTATTGCTATTAATAAGATACAATTTAACACTAATATTATTAATGCACCAAATGTAATAGTTCTCTATTGTGACTTTCATAGGATGACATGTTGAACCTTTGTTGAGCTTCTTGAGTCCCTGGAGAGCAGCATCAAGCAAGGTTTCTTATCGCTTTGCTGAGTAACAGGCTTTTTAAAAAGTGTTAAGGTGCTTTTATTTCGGTGGCATGTTTTTCAAATTGCTGTAATACAGGGAGTTTATAACTACATACCTATGGTTCTAAGAGTTCTATGAAACTTCATGAATTTTTAAAAAATGTGTATTTATGAGTAATTTTTCTTGGAGAGTGGAGAGGAGAGAAGAAAGAAAGAAAAAACATTCCCAAAGGCTCAGTGACCCCAAAAGAAGGCCTATGATACTTTACCCCTGAAAAACCCATTCAAATTTGAAAGTCTAATTAGAATAAACAGATCTTGGGCATGAAAAAAATTCCTTAAAACCCGTCAGTGAAACTCTATAAAAATAATGAAATTCCCTTTCTCTTCATTCCTCTATTATGTGTCACAAGCTATTTGTGGCATTATATCATCATGAAGGTCACATAATACTAGCACCAATCTGTTTACATGGCAATAATTCACTTTCAAAGCAGACACCAAACTCACCAATGCCTTTTCTACTTGCTGTTTTCCAAGGATCTTTTAAAATGGAAATTATTTGCTTTGCTGCCATCTAGTGGTTAATACGTTTTCTCAAAGTAACGATGAGTACATTAAAATAGAAGATTCATTGTAAACATTTGACCGTTTTGTCTTTTACATAAAAATTCTGAGTCTTAGTAATTTAGGAAGAGTGCAGGAATAATTATTAAATGGTCTCAATCATGGCATTTTTAAAGTAATATGATTTTGTCTTATTTTAGTACTCTCAATTTCTCAAGCCTCCTGATTACTCAGCTTGCATCATTTCTTAGATCCCCCTGATCATTTCTCCACACTGAAGTTATGGCAATCTCTTTAAAAAACAAATCTTATTATGCCCCCAATCAGCTTGAAACCTTTTAGTTGAAATTGCTTTTGCTTATGAAGACCAAACTCCAAACAGATCTGCAAGGTCGTGCAAAATCTTTCTCCCATCTACCATTTCTTCCACATGTAACATTACATTTTTTGTCTTCCTTTACTCTATTCGTGATGGTCTTCCTTTCAATCTTTCTAACCACATGCCTTCATACCTCCCTTGCACTTGCTTTTCCCTCTGCCTAGAATCTGCCTACTTTTCACATGGTAATTCCTACTCATTCTAAGCTGTTGTCACTGCACTAAGGAAGCCTCCCTGACTAGGACACTTTCCCATGTTATAGGCTGTCATAGCAGCATGTACCTTTATAGCTCTTATGTGATCTGCATTTTTATACTTGTTGATCTGATTATTTTATTGATGATATCGTCCCCCATGAGACTACATGCTCATGGAGGATGGGAAACACATCTTCTGTTTTTCATTGTTGTATCTTTGGCATTCAATAAAAATTATTTGATTTTGAATGAATTTATATGAATGTCAGAAAATAAGCTAACAGTTTTGAATTACAGATATATTGGAGTGAGGGCTTACCTTAGTCATTATAATGGGGAAAAATCTATAGTTAGCAAAATAAAATATGGGACACAAGTTGCATTGGCTTCGTATATTCTTTTTTTTTTTTTTTTGAGACAGAGTCTCACTGTATTGCCCAGGCTGGAGTGTGGTGGTGTGATCTCAGCTCACTGCAACCTCCGCCTCCTGGGTTCAAGTGATTCTCCTGCCTCAGCCTCCCGGGTAGCTGAGATTACAGGCATCCGCCACCACGCCGGCTAATTTTTGTAGTTTTGGGAGAGATGGGGTTTCTCCATGTTGGCCAGGCTTGTCTCAAACTCCTGACCTCAAGCAATCCGCCTCCCTCGGCCTCCCAAAGTGCTGGGATTACAGGCGTGAGCCACCATGCCTGGCCGAACCGTATATTCCTGAAGTGCAAATATATGCTTCCAAGTTAAGAGAAACATTTTAGTCTCTAAATAGGTAGGCATTTGGCAGGGCATGGTCGCTCACGCCTGTAATCTCAGCATGTTGGGAGGCCGAGTCAGGTGGATCAACTGAGATCAGGAGTTCGAGACCAGTCTGGCCAACATGGTAAACCCTGTCTCTAATAATAATGCAAAAATTAGCCAGACAAGGTGACGCACACCTGTAATCCCAGCTACTTGGGAGGCTGAGGCAGAAGAATCTGTTGAACCCAGGAGGCAGAGGTTGCAGTGAGCCGAGATCACACCATTGCACTCCATTTAAAAAAAAAAAAAGTAGGCATTCACATTTATACACAAGGTTAATTTTCTTTGCTTAGTACACTATTTTTTTCCACAATGAAAAGGACCAAAGTATGAGTATCTGACGATGTGAATTCTAGCCTTTGCTTTGTCAACAGCTGTGTGGATTTGGGCAGGACCTTTGTATGGGACAAGAGGGCTATACAGGATAATCATGTGATCCTTATCCAACATGTGTGTCCTTTGCCTTTGATCATAATTATGTATAAGTTCAAAACCAGTAACTTCCAAACCAGAGATACGTTCTTAAGCCAGTTGGCTATTGTTGGGAAAAAAAATTACTCCTCATATTATTGACGTAATTTTCAATGGAATTAGTGGGTTTTGTTCTCCTTAGGATTTTCCCTGGACATTATTCACATTAATGAACAAGTATAGACGTGGATTAAAAGAATCCCTAACAAAAGAAGTTTTGTTTTAACAAAATTTTTATTTTATTGAGATAAAAATACCATACCCACATACCATAAAATTCGCCATCTTAAAGTTTACAGTTTAGTTGTTTTCAGTATATTTACAAGGTTCTGCAACCATTACCACTACGTAATTCTAGAATATTTTTTTTTCTTTTTCTTTCTGTTTTTTTTTTTTTTCTTCAGACAGAGTCTCGCTCTGCCACCCAGGCTGGAGTGCAGTGGTGCAATCTCGGCTCACTGCAACCACTGCCTCCCAGCTTCAAGCGATTCTCCTGCCTCAGCCTCCCGAGTAGCGGGGACCACAGGCGCATGCCACCACACCTGGCAAATTTTTATATTTTTAGTAGAGTTAGGGTTTCACCATATTGGTCAGGCTGGTCTCAAACTCCTGACTTCAGGTGATCCACCTGCCACGACCTCCCAAAGTGCTGGGCTTACAGGCGTGAACCACCATGCCCAGCCTAGTTCTAGAACATTGTTATCACCCCTAAAAGAAACCTGGTACCCTTTAGCAGTCACTGTCTGTTTCTTCCTCCTCCTAATATCTCTCGATTTATTTTTTTTAATTGAAGTTTCGTTTTTCTCCTTGCAGAATCCAAGAAAACAGGGGCCCGAAACCCAAGGCAGTACAGCAGAGTTAATTACAGGGCTCGTCCAACTGGTCCCTCAGTCACACATGCCAGAGATTGCGCAGGAAGCAATGGAGGTAAGGGGAAAATGAATTCCAGGTTCTTGAAGGAAAGGTTGTAACTATGTACATTCATGATGTTCCTTTGGTGTGTGGTTTCTATGAGTAATAGGTAGATGTCATTTCTGGAAATGGTATGTTTATGTCTATACATTGTTTTATAAAACTCCTTGGAGAAAGAAGAGATTTACTTGCTTTATATCACATAGCAACAACATTGTACAAATTCTGATGCTTAATAAAATAGTTCGAGATTTTCTAATTGCAGTTGACTTTAAAATTTTTTTAAATATTTTTACTAAATATTAAAAATACTGATTTTTAAATTGAGACATAATTCACATACCCGCAAGTTGAACATTTTAAGTAGTTCTTATTCACACAGTTGTGCAACTGTCACCACTCTCTAATCCGTTCACATTTTTATCACCCCAGAAAGAAACTTGACTCCCCATTCCCTTATCCCTACCAACTACTAATCTGTTTTCTGTCTCTGTGGCTTTGCTTGTTTTAGGTATTTCGTATAAATAGAATCATAGAATATGTGGCCTTTTATGTCTGGCTACCTTGACAGTGTTTTCAAGGTTCATTTATGTTGTGGTATGAATCACTATTTTCTTCCTTTTTATTTCCAAATATTTCATTGGATGGATCTCAGTTTTATTCATCTAGTTATCAGTTGGTGGACGTTTGGTGTTTCTACTTTTTGGCTATTACGAATAATGCTGCTATGAACATTTGTGTAAAAGTCTATATGTGGACATATCTCTTAAGTATATAGGAGTGGAACTGCTAAGTCATGTGGTAACTCTGTTGAACTTTTGAGGAACTGTCAAACTCTTTTTCCAAAGCAGCTGTATCATTTTATATTCCTAATAAGAAGGTATGAAGGTTTTAATATTTCTGCATCCTTGCTAATACTTTTTATAATGTGCCTTTTTGATTATGGCCATCCTAATGTACATACTATAAAAATGTTTATACATACCCAGTAAAACTATTTATAAAAAATGTTTTAGCACTTATGTAATCATTGGTTCCATTTGTGTACATTGCTATTGGTACCATAAATTGATACATTTCTTGTAGTCTTTTTGGAAGGCTATTTGGCAGAAGCTATACAAATGTTTCATTTTTTGTACAAATAATTTCTAGCACTTTAAAAATCTTATGAATATAACTCAAAAGGAAAAAGCTGCACACATAGGTACTTATTGCTCTTAATTATAATACGAGAATATTAGAGCTTTATTTACTGGGAGGAGAATGGGCTAATATTCAATAATGAGAATGGTATTTTAACTTGGTGAGCTGTTAAACATTTATTAAAACATATAGATCACACAGCAATGTGGAAAAATATGAAATGTCAAGTTGAGTATACTGTGTTTATGGCTTTGTTAAAACATGGAAAATACAAAAAAAGAAGGCAACATGAAAAGAAAATTAAAGCCTGGAAAAGGCTAACACGTTTTCTTTCAATATATATTTTTAAAGTTTTATCAAACAAAAATATAGAGAATTTGTCACTTGAAAAAACTACTGGCAGTAAATTGTACCAAGTTTTTGTACAATAGTAGCAAAATTGAATTTTAATTTGTGTTGTTTTTCCTTGATACAAGAGCTATAAATTATATAGCTTTTTAAGATTCTCACAATTAATTGCAATTTTCATTAAATATCTCAAAGTACTTACAATAAAAATGTTTGAAATAAGATAATGCGGGTCTGGCCTTTATATGTTGATATGTTGACCAACGACTGAAAGAAATGTCCAGAGCTTCAGTGTCTGCTGGGTCGGGGGTGGAGGGGTGTGGGAAGAATGTAAATTGGGATTGTAGAATTGGAGTTAAGATAGGATCCGTTTGAAGGAAGAGTTTGTGTTTTATTTTTTATATCTTTGATGGTTTTATGTAATAATCTATTCATATGTTATATATTGTAAGTGAATTATTTAATTCCTGTTAATGTTCTCTGAGCCAGATTCCAATTTCAGTTCTGTGGTCAATTGAAATACTTTAGAATGGATAATCTGCTATGAAATACAAAATCCATTTTGCTTCCTCTCTCGATTTTGAAAAATAATTGCTCTTTTCTGTTACAAAAGACTTTGTGGCAAGTGAGACAATATTTACTTGTCTTTTGCTGTGTGTATTAATTTTGGCAAGCCCTTCTTACTTGGGGATTAACTTTTTGTTTCATAGAGTTCTTTACTATCTATTGAAATTATTTTGTTTGTTTCTTAAAGCAGTTTTTACAGTTATATATTGTTCTAAATTCATCATTTAGCTTTATATGTGCATGCCAGTTAGAGTCAGGATGATGGGAATAAAATTATTTCATGCTGCCTGTATTATTCCCTAGAGGTTTGTGTTCACCAGAGTTTCTCTCTTAACCTTTTACTATCTATTGAAACTACAAATGAAATAGCTCAATTTCTTAGCATTTATAAAATAAGTACTCCAGTGTTATGTTTACCAAAAATGTTTGAGTGAGTCTTCTGTTTGTCTTTCTCTTTTTTAAAAAATTCAGGCTCTGCTGGTTCTTCATCAGTTAGATAGCATTGATTTGTGGAATCCTGATGCTCCTGTAGAAACATTTTGGGAGATTAGGTATATGTACTTTTATTTTTTAAATTCAACTTTTAAATTTTATTTTGTATTTTTTGTCTTGAAATATTAACTCTGTAGTACTTAGTATATTGTAAAACTGGGTTTTATGGTTTTGTATTTTATTTGACTTCAAATTATTAGAATTTCTTGTTTTAACTATAAGAAAAGTATAGCAATTTAGAAAATAAATTTTAAGAATAGTGCTAAGTTTTGTCACCCTAACATAAGTACTGTTGTTTGATATATTACTTTTTTCAGATTTCAATGTGGTTACTACTGTATTTTAATAGATTTTCATAGTCATAAGCCTAGAATGATAAAATTTTGTAACAATACTATTTTTTCAGTTTTTTAAACTATGATCTTTTGTAAACTTTCTGTAATACCAGTGCTTTTAATGAATGAATTAATAATGGACACCTGCTTAGAAGAAAAAAATATATACAGAATTTTGTGGTCTACTTCCTAGATTATATAAATCATTACATTTTAATGAGCATGAAGTCACCACACTGAGGAAAATGTAAATGTGTAAACCTCAAGTTTGCCATTATCTTATAAGAATGGGTGTGCTAAGTTACTTGGCAGCTGAATTAAACCTTACTCTAGAGTAGTGCTGTCCACTAGTAATATAATGAGAACCCCATATGTTAAAGTTTTTTTACTTACTACATTAAAGAGTAAAAAGAAGCAGGTAAAATTAATTGTAATAATGTTTTATTTAACCCAGTGTATATTATCTATAATATAATTTCAACATGTAATCAATTTAAAAGTTATTAATGACATTTCATTCTCTTTTTTAAATAAAGTATTCAAACTTTGGTGTGTCTTTTATCCTTACAGCACATTTCAATTTGAACAGGCCACACTTAAAGTGCTCAGTAGCCATGTGTGGCTGGCTAGTAGTGCCTACCATGTTAGACAGTGCAGCTCTGGAGTAGGGATCAGAAAATTTTTCTCTAGAAGACCAGATAATAAATATTTTAGGCTTTGTGGGTTATACAGTTTCCGTCATAACCATTCAGTTCTGCCGTTGGAGCATGAAAGTTGCCACAGACATGTGAATGAACGGGCATGGTTGTGTTTAACTAAAACTTTATATACAATAGCAAGTGATAGGCTGGATTTGGTCTGTGGATGGTAGCTTGCAGACCCCCACTGTGGAGCACTGGGTTTATAGGCAGTCTCTGCTGTGCATATGGTTTATTGTTTCTTCTTATGTCCACTGCAAGGATGAGTTACATGGATAGAAACACTGGAAGTTTAATGAAACATAGGGAGCTTATAAATAAATACTTGCTTTTTTTCTATAACCTATGGACGTACTTCCTTTGATTATAATGCTGTTGACACTTTGATAACTGTTTCTCTAAAGCCCTACAAGGGAAACTAAGCTTCTCTAAACTTGTATTCATTATGGGAGAATGCCATTCTTATGTCTGGTTATATCTGCATTAAGTTATTGATGATGCTAGTAACAATGAACTTTATGTTACTGCAGCTCACAAATGCTTTTTTACATCTGCAAGAAATTAACTAGTCATCAAATGCTTAGTAGCACAGAAATTCTCAAGTGGTTGCGGGAAATTTTGATCTGCAGGAATAAATTCCTTCTTAAAAATAAGGTAAGCAAAATGACATATTTAAAAAATGGAAGAATATTTGGAATGGTAATGGTGAGAGATTAAGAAAGTGTTTTATAGCCAAATTAGATTCTACTTCAGCTCCTCCTTCCTCCCAATGTTCTCAAAAGGAAATGTATGTGCAGAGGACAATGGCTGGTAAATCAGCATTTTAAAAATTATTCTGAGGCTTTAGCCTTAAAACCACACTGTTGATGAATTCTAGTTCTAGTTGAGTTAAATAGGTCTCTCTGGGGCAGGCCTATACTTTAGTTATAGGCTGCTATAACTAAAGTAGCTGGTGAGTAGCATATTCTGTCTCTACTCTCAAGTTCATACATAAGACATAATTCATACATAAAATTTATTTTAACATATAGCTTCTATAATTTAAGAATTCTATTATGGCATAGATTTGGGAGTACTTGATTTAATTAGTTTTTGTCCAGTTCTAGAATAATAGCTCTGAGAGATCGTAAAGGCCTAGATTTCATGGCTAGACTAGTCCAGAGAATTATCTATCAAGAACCAAAAGGGAAAGAGTTGAGGGTTCTCAATCTAGATTTATTTCTATTCCTCCAATAAGGGTTTCACTTTTTGAAAGTATCAGGAGACTTCTTCGTTGGGGTGGAGTGAAATGTTTTGATTCTGAACTATTGAAACATGGTGAGGTTGTGGAGGATAGAGAAGAGCCTTAAATTTCTTTTAAAATATAGTTTCCGTAATTAATCTATTTAGGAATTCTGTTATGGCCTAGTTTTCAGAGTACTTGATTTAATGAGGTTTTATCTGGTACTAGAAGCATAACTGTGAAAAACCTTAAATGTATGAAACTCATATCCTTTTCAGTGTTTTACAGCTTGTTATTAATAAATTGCCTCTTTTCGGAAATAGACTAATGGTAAAGTGGGTTTATTCACATGTGGCTTATTTGATGTGTTAATGTAGTGGAATTTGGCATTATTCCAAAGATACGGAAAGAGATTAGACTTCAGACTTTCATGCCCTTGCCTATGGTGTAATCTCCAGAATGCGAGTATGAGGAATCCAATAATGAATTCCTAGGGCCCTGGTAGGCGCAGTCACTCTTGTGACATACTTGGTGTATATACCAGGGTTAATTACTGGTCCATAAAAACTTAATCTCAAGAGTCAATTTCTGGTTATCCCAACATGACACAGTATAAAATCTTACGGAAAAAAAAATTTGTCATTGAGATGGAATTACAGTTCATACAGTAGTTTTACATTGTTGATGTTTTATTTATGTTTATGTGAGACTTAATTTATATTTGTAGAATCTACTATTTCTGATGATTTAGAGAATGGGAAACTGAAAGAAATTTTAAAGATGTTAAGTAAACCTTATTTGTTCTAATGGGTTTCTAGTGAATCTCCTTCAAGTTGGGGCATAGACACTGAGAGGAGAGGTTTTTTAGGAGAGTCTCAAACAGGAAGACAACTCAAATAAGTGTTTATTCCTCTTGGTTGTCAGTGCTTCATTAAAGCTTATTTATTTCTTTTTTTCTAGCAGGCAGATAGAAGTTCCTGTCACTTTCTCCTTTTTTATGGGGTAGGATGTGATATTCCTTCTAGTGGAAATACCAGTCAAATGTCCATGGATCATGAAGAATTACTACGTACTCCTGGAGCCTCTCTCCGGAAGGGAAAAGGGAACTCCTCTATGGTCAGCTTCCTCTGTACTTTTCCTGTATCATTTTATGTGCTCTGTTTGTTTTCTGAATGAACTTCAGTAAATTTCATCTAGGTATATAGTGTAATAGTGAAAAACTGCTTAGAATCTAGTTCTATTACTGCTCTTTGGGGAACTTTGGGCAAGTTCATAACATCCTTATTCCTCAGTTCCTCAACTTTAAAATGGGGATAGTAATAGTTCCTGCCCCAGAGTTGTTAAAGAGGGATAAATAAAAGGATGTGTAAATAGTACTTGACACTTACAAGCTGTATCTGATAATTATAATTATTATAAACCTCCACTCCATAAAAAACCCATTCATACAACAGAAGTATAGAATTTGTACCAGCTAACAAAGGTACAGATTTACAGGGATAAAAACAAAGTATTTTGCTTCATGTGAAAGATAAGTGTTTCTGTGATTTGTGTTTGTATGTATAATTTCTTTTAAATCATATTTCAAGTGAAAATATCAGATCATTACAGAAGAGTTTATTTTCCAAACCAAAACTTTTTTCATCTCTAATTTTTGACATAACCTTGTTAGGGAAAAAAACACCTAAGCAGTATGGTATTTACTATTGTCTGTTTTACTTGTAGAATTTGCATTTTCTTTTTTACCAGTTTTCTTCTCCATTTCATGTTTGGGGAATAAGTAATTCAGAATCAAGTGTATCTCCTACAGCTATATTTAGTTCTTGTTTATGCCCTTGTTTCAATGAGTGCTACAGTGTACTTATTTTATTACTTCCCTACAGCAAGTAGATAGAATTTCCTGTTACTTCCTCTGTTTTTGTCATTTCTAATTGACTGGGAAATACATTATATTTTTACTGCAGTAGATTTATGTTATGGTGTTTTACCTGTCCATGTTAGAATCAGTTTACATTTCTGGAATCTGGATTAGGATAATACCTATTTGATTTGAAATTGAACAGATAGTAGCATTATGTTGGTCGACGTAATCTCATTTCTCATTTGGACAAGATATCTTGGGGTTTGAAAAATTCCTATAATTATTAAAGGAAAAAACTCTTGTGATTTATTGTATGCTGAGACACACACACACACACACACACACACAGTTGATTGCATTGTTGGGTTTTATATATAAAATTACCCAAGTTGCAAATATTTGTCTTCCACCCTTGACTGTCAGGATAGTGCAGCAGGATGCAGCGGAACCCCCCCGATTTGCCGACAAGCCCAGACCAAACTAGAAGTGGCCCTGTACATGTTTCTCTGGAACCCTGACACTGAAGCTGTTCTGGTTGCCATGTCCTGTTTCCGCCACCTCTGTGAGGAAGCAGATATCCGGTGTGGGGTGGATGAAGTGTCAGTGCATAACCTCTTGCCCAACTATAACACATTCATGGAGTTTGCCTCTGTCAGCAATATGATGTCAACAGGTAAATGTGAATGGTGGTTTTTTTTACTCAGTCTGCCTCAAAGCACATGGCATCTGATTGTGAGAATGTATGTAAGGTCACTACTTTGTAAGTTTACAGGGGAAATTCAAATAGCTTACTTGAAATCCTTCTCTGAACAAAGTAAGATGAAAATAAAAAGCATTTGAAATAAATTGTTTGTCTCCTACTGAGTTGTTAATATGCTATACATTTTAAAAATAACTGGCAGTGTATGTTACTATCAGTTATGATTATGTAATTTACTCTGCCTAAGTTGTAGATAGTGAAGTTTTATGAACATTGGCATATGTTTCGAGTAAATTATAGGTGGGAATAGTTATTTTATTCTGTGGACATTGTAGAGTCCAAGATAAGTACCTTTCTTCTGAGGTTAGTGAAAGGAAGTTTTTGGCTTTATCATTTGAAGCATTTGCCTCTACTCTTCCTACTCTGCCTTTTGGGTGGGGCTTATCAGGTTTTCCATTGGCAGACAGGGCTCTAAGTGTAGTAACTTGATTTGCTGTTGTATTTGCTTAGGAAGAGCAGCACTTCAGAAAAGAGTGATGGCACTGCTGAGGCGCATTGAGCATCCCACTGCAGGAAACACTGAGGTATGCCCTTAGCAACAGAAACACCTCTTCCAGGCGCCCACCCTCAATTTTGGAAGCCTCTTGTTACATATGTGTGATCAGGAATAGCTTTTGAAGTAAATCTAAGATATGTGCGTATTACAAGTATAATATCTGAGTATTTAATATACCCCAAGTTTGAAACTTGACTGTTGCTCATGGATGTTTAGCTCTAGACTTAAAGTTGTTTTCAAGTGATAACTGCCTTCATTTTAGGCTTGGGAAGATACACATGCAAAATGGGAACAAGCAACAAAACTAATCCTTAACTATCCAAAAGCCAAAATGGAAGATGGCCAGGTAAGTTTGTAAAGTTGACTTTTGTCTATTAATTGATCTGCTAAATATATGTACTTCACTTTGGTAATCTTTCATGAGTCACTCAGTAAAGTAAGCATATAGTTGTCTGAAGACTGATATTTAATTGTGGTTTATCTAGACCTGTACTTTGTAATATGGTAGCCACTAGCATGTGTGATGATTTAACTTAAATTTTAACATAATTAAAATTAAATAAAATTTAGTTCCTCAATCATATAGTAGCCACATTGCAAGTACCCACTAGCCACATTTGACAATTACTTACTCTGTTGGACAGCAGAGAGAGAAAATGTTCCCATCATCACAGAAATACTGGGCAGCATTCCTAGAGACTGTTTGTTGCAGAGACCATTTCTTTACCTTTTCTTGCTCTTTCTCCCTTCATCAGTGTGTTTCACAGAATTTTCAGAAAAGGAGCAACAGAGGTAGAGAAGAGTTAACATGGAAACAATTCATTTTGCTATTTTGTTAGGTATTCTAATTAAGGAATGTCTTAGGCAGTAGATTGAGCCCATAGAGTAAATGAAAATTTAAAATGTGGATAGTTCATTCAACTATTACTATTCACTGTATTACCCATTACTTTGGAAATTAATGATCAGTTGGTGTTTGTGTGTACTTGATTTGTAATGTTCATATTGCTCTCATTATTAGGTGATTTATAAAAACTGGTCATTCTCCCATTTTTTTGGTCATGCTTAATTACAATAAGAAAAAAGTTACATTTTTGTGAAGCAAAATTATGTACCTAATACCTTTATTTGAAGGGGACATGTAGCTTTAGAATGAAAGCTTTTGGGGGATTTAATATAGTATATAATTACATGCCATACAATTCACCCATTTAAATTATCCAATTCAGTGACTGTTTTTAGTATATTCACAGAGTTGTGCAACCATCACCACAATCAAGTTTTAGAACAATTTCATCAATTGAGAAAAAAACCCTGTACCCTTTAGCTATCTCTGCCTCTAACCACCCCCCACCCGCTTTCTTGCCTCTCTTCCCCCAACTTCTCCAGCCCTAGGCAACCACGAATCTAACTTTCTGTCTCTGTAGATTTGCCTATTCTGGATATTTTCTGTAAATGGAATTAATAGAATATGCGGGCTTTTGTGATTAGCTTCTTTCACTTAGCATAATGTTTCCAAGGTTCATCCTTGTGAAATCAAAGCTTTTTGAAAGAAATTTGATACTCGGATGATTATATTAGTATATGATAAAAATAAATCAGTGGCTCTTTAAAAATGTGTATGGTAATTTTGGGGGTTGATTTTAATGTATTTTTTACATGTTTTGTACTTTTGTCATGGAATAAATGTTGGATAAAGAATAATTTGTCAAGTCTCAACTAATTAAGGTTTAATTCATGCTTTGCACAAAAATTTTGTGTTTAGGCTGCTGAAAGCCTTCACAAGACCATTGTTAAGAGGCGAATGTCCCATGTGAGTGGAGGAGGATCCATAGATTTGTCTGACACAGACTCCCTACAGGAATGGATCAACATGACTGGCTTCCTTTGTGCCCTTGGGGGAGTGTGCCTCCAGCAGAGAAGCAATTCTGGCCTGGCAACCTATAGCCCACCCATGGGTCCAGTCAATGAACGTAAGGGTTCCATGATTTCAGTGATGTCCTCAGAGGGAAACACAGATACACCTGTCAGCAAATTTATGGATCGGCTCTTGTCCTTAATGGTGTGTAACCATGAGAAAGTGGGACTTCAAATACGGACCAATGTTAAGGATCTGGTGGGTCTAGAATTGAGTCCTGCTCTGTATCCAATGCTATTTAACAAATTGAAGAATACCATCAGCAAGTTTTTTGACTCCCAAGGACAGGTAAAGTGTTCTCTTTTTTATTTTTCACCTTTCCCTATGAATAGAGTGACGTGTTTGAAACAAGCCTTTTTCTTTGAGATTATTTAAATTAGGTACTCACAGTTTTTAAAAATTTCCAAAAAATTGCAGAAAGAAGAGTCATCTCAATGTAGGGGTCAGCTTGCCTCTTAGGAACTCTGGTGTATACATGTGCCTGAGGGTATACGTGCCTTGTGTATGGGTACGAGTGTCTTCGTATATCTGTATGCTTGTTTGGCTCTGTGCCTGTGGGTGTACTTACTCTGTGTGTTTAGATCAGTCAGTTTCATCTCTCTAGGGGGTCTGTCTTTTGGGCATTGATGGCAAATCTTTAATATATTTGTTCTTTCTATAGGTTTTATTGACCGATACCAATACTCAGTTTGTAGAACAAACCATAGCTATAATGAAGAACTTGCTAGATAATCATACCGAAGGCAGCTCTGAACATCTGGGGCAAGCTAGCATTGAAACAATGATGTTAAATCTGGTCAGGTAAGCGTTCTACTGAAATATAGCAGAAACATTTTAAGAGATAAGAAAAACCTCTTACACATTGATATTGGTGGTAATTGATAAAATAATTTGCCATTCTTTACTGCACACAAACTAGGGTGTGACAATAAGGTAACCGAAGTTGTGTATGTTCTTTTCTAAATAAATATCTTATTGTTTTTGAACTTAAATTTAATTCATTTTACTTGATGACTAAAGTACTTTGAATGCCTTCTCTTTTGTCTATATCTGATAATTTTTTTTATTGTTTCTATGTCTATATAGGTATGTTCGTGTGCTTGGGAATATGGTCCATGCAATTCAAATAAAAACAAAACTGTGTCAGTTAGTTGAAGTAATGATGGCAAGGAGAGATGACCTCTCATTTTGCCAAGAGATGAAATTTAGGTGAGTTCTCAAAAGAGCAGTGTAGGGTCTTGTAAATCTTAATATGTTCAATGAAGTACAGGAAAAGAGTAGATACAAGGTTATTGGTAGAAAGGAGGACATGAAAAGAGAGCAATTTACATGTTTGTTTTTCTCTACATCTCTTCTCAAATTTCCCTAAGCTTTGTGCCTGTGACAGTGCTCCCTTTTTCTAAAACTGTGCTATAATTGAGCTAAGAATTTTATTCTGTTTCCAATCTGATACCATAACTAAGGGCCATGATGGAGGGTAAATACCGATGTTGCTTGTTCCCTTCTGGCTTTTATGTCTGTGATAGCAGTATCTCTTTTATAAAGTCATCATGTCACTTAGGTTATCTGGGAAATTATTTGCACTATAAGAAATCTTACATGACTAAAGGTGTGTGTGTGGCTTCAAAAAAATTATTTGCTGTTTCTCGTTTCTCCACCATTCTATAGGAATAAGATGGTAGAATACCTGACAGACTGGGTTATGGGAACATCAAACCAAGCAGCGGATGATGATGTAAAATGTCTTACAAGGTAAAAAAGAGAATGACCTTCAAGTATTAGTGGGTTTTACTGTGAGAATTATAACTACTTCATTTTAGCTTTATACTTGTATTTTATGTGTATTTAAACTTTTTAGATGTCAAACTTTTGTGTTTGAAATATGTAAAGACACTAATCTTTATTACTGCTTTTTTTTGACTGATAGACTTTCAGTAAAAATAAATGTGAAAGAGCAATATGTTTGGGAAGTTAGTGTTGCTAGGTTATGAAGAATAGTGTAGACTTATTGGGAAATAAGATACATAAAGCCTCAGATTGCATTTATGTTATGATTAGATAAAGGTATTACTTGAGGAACTCATTGTGTTGAATCTTTCTAAGAAATAATTGATTTCCTGATTCAAGCACCAGAGATGAAAAAAAAAGGAAATAATTAAGTCTGCTTTAATGACAAATACTTATTGACACATATCAGAAAGTGATTAAACACTATGGACTGTATAATAAGCATTCACATATGTTTCTTTGACCAAGCCTAGCTTTGTAATACAGTCTTCTCTCAGGATCTGTCAGGAATTAGTTCCAGGAACCACTCCCCAAACCGCTCCCCACATCTCACTCCCATGAACACTAAAATCCACAGATGCTCAAGTCTCTGACATAAAATGTCATAGTATTTGCATATACACTATGCACATCCTCCCATATATTTTAAATTATCTTTCGATATCTTATAATATCTAATACAATATAAATGTTATATAAATAGTTGTTATATCATATTGTTTAGGGAATAACAACAAAGAAAAATCTGCACATGTTGAGTACAGATGAAACCCTACTTTTTTTCCCCCCCAACTTTCTTCAGTCCATGGTTGGATGAATCCATGGATATAGAACTCACTGATAGAGAGGGCTAATTGTACATTCTAAATTTAAGGTAGTCATTTTGCCAAGATTACTTTGTAGAAAGTAAGTATTACCTTCTCCCCATTTGAGATGATTTTGTATTCTGGGATCTGCATATTAACTCAAATTATTTGGGTTGTGCTAATAATTTGTTTAATGAAATAGATATTTCCTAAGGCTTATATCCATTAGTAAGAGGTTTATTTGAGGGGAAGCACAAGAGCCTGAAAGATTTATGGTCTCTAAATTTTTTTTTTCCAGAGATTTGGACCAGGCAAGCATGGAAGCAGTAGTTTCACTTCTAGCTGGTCTCCCTCTGCAGCCTGAAGAAGGAGATGGTGTGGAATTGATGGAAGCCAAATCACAGTTATTTCTTAAGTAAATTTCGGTCACCAAAAAACATAAAGCAAAAAGCAAATAAAGCCCCCCACCACACACACAAAAACAATCCCATGACAGGACTAGGATAGGAAAATAACTGTGTTTTGTGATTTTTTTAAAGAAAATAATATGATCAGTGAAATTTTACTTATAATAAAACCCAAATTGCTTCATTAAGTCATTTACAAAAGTGACATTGTCTAAGCTGTTTGGACCACTAATTTTATATACTAAACATTAAAAGTGACACATTTAACCAGGTAACATTGCATCTATTTGATGCTTATGTTATGAAGGGTATACTAGGCTATATCAGCTAAAATCATGTCCAACATAGCACACTTCATAATGAGCCACCCTGGCTGATTATCCTGAGAGAGGAGAGAAACAGTTAACCCAGGGCCAGTCACACCATGCACATATGATTGTTTTGGAATGTCTGGTTAGCTTTCTAGTTGATACGGCCTTCCCTATGTAAAGGTCGGTTTTTTTATTTCTCAGATACTTCACATTATTTATGAACCTTTTGAATGACTGCAGTGAAGTTGAAGATGAAAATGCACAAACAGGTGGCAGGAAACGTGGCATGTCTCGGAGGCTGGCATCACTGAGGCACTGTACAGTCCTTGCAATGTCAAACTTACTCAATGCCAACGTAGACAGTGGTCTCATGCACTCCATAGGTGAGATCAAAAGAAAGTTTCATTTAGAAATACAAAACCTAGAGAACTGGCATGTAAGATAAGCAAAAATTACTTCAGCAAGGCCATGTTAGTAAATTTGCATCTGTTTGTCCACATTAGGCTTAGGTTACCACAAAGATCTCCAGACAAGAGCTACATTTATGGAAGTTCTGACAAAAATCCTTCAACAAGGCACAGAATTTGACACACTTGCAGAAACGGTATTGGCTGATCGGTTTGAGAGATTGGTGGAACTGGTCACAATGATGGGTGATCAAGGAGAACTCCCTATAGCGATGGCTCTGGCCAATGTGGTTCCTTGTTCTCAGTGGGTAAGTGCATAGAGTAAGCGGGAAAGAAAAGTGCCTGGCATATAGCAAATCCTTCAGACTATATTTGTTCAGTAAGTGTTTGTTGAATGAATGGGTAAAACTTTAGGGCCAGAATAAATCTTTTTTTTTTTTTTTTTTTTTTTTTTTTTTTTTTTTTTTTTTTGGAGATGGAGTCTCGCTCTGTCTCCTAGGCTGGAGTGCAGTGGCCCAATCTCGGCTCACTACAACCTCTGCCTCCTGGGTTCAAGCGATTCTCCTGCCTCAGCCTCCCAAGTAGCTGGAACTACAGGCGTCCGCCACCACTCCTGGCTAATTTTTTGTATTTTCAGTAGAGACGGGGTTTCACCATATTGGCCAGTCTGGTCTCGAACTACTGACCTTGTGATCCGCCCACCTCGGCCTCCCAGTGATCTGCCCACCTCGGCCTCCCAAAGTGCTGGGATTACAGGCTTGAGCCACCGCACCCGGCCCAGAAGAAATCTTAGAAGATGTTTAGTGAGGTGATTTTTCAGCTGTAGGGAAATGGTTGGCACCACTAGACCTGACTGGTGTTCTATATCTTTCCATCCTACTAAAAAGTTCCGTTTAAACACTGATTAAAAATCGCTGATCTACTCTGGTGTCTTCATATATTTGATAAGGTAAATAGGTTAAACCTAATTTTAGTTAGTTGTTGCAACACTGGAGCCGGAATCCACAATTTGTGCCTGTGTACTACCTCCAGTTTGCTATTCTTTTCCCCAGAATGTCTTACACAATTTTTAAAAAATGTAAGTACTTTTTATTTGCATTTGATATTATGATATTTGTTTTAAACACTGAAAACATCATAATGGCTATTAGGTCTCTCTCTTAATTTAATGAAAAATTTTCCTAAAATCACATCATTCTTAATACATGCTAAAACGTTGAGAAGGGTTGTTGTTCCTTTCCAGTGTTAAAAGGCTATTTGCTTTTTATTGTACCAAAACTGATTTCAGTTGTAGTAAATTATGACTGATAAGGTAATCTGTCGTCGTTATACCTGTACTTAAAGTAAAATTTTTTATACCTGTACTTAAAGTAGAATTAAAACTCCTTATCCTGTCCTACAAGGCTCTACCTGATCTGGGCCCTGCCTCAGAGATCTGTAACATCATCTTATGCTATTTTCTTTCTTGTTCACCAAAGCCATACCAGCTACCTTTCTGTCCCTCCTTGTTAGACTTGTTTCTGCCTTAGAGCACCCTTGCTTCTGCCACCACCTGAAATGCTGCTTCTCTGGTATTTTATTTTGGTGAGAACACGTAGCATGATATCTACCCTCTAACAGGTTTTTAAGTGTATAATACAGTATTGCTGTCTGTAGGCACAATGCTGCACAGCAGATCTCTAGAACTTACCTTGTATAACTGAAATTTTACACTCATTGATTAGCAACAGCCCCAAATTATTGAAACCTTCTTGAAGCCTAAAATTAGTTCACAGATGTTCAAATGTTTTGAAAATGGATGTTCTGAATTATCTTATTAGCACCTATTTATAATTAGCACTGAAAATACTCAGTAATTTTTAAAATTAAGAATCAGTTAAGGGCCGAGTGTGGTGGCTCACACCTGTAATCCCAGCACTTTGGGAGGCCCTAGGTGGGTGGATCACAAGGTCAGGAGATCGAGACCATCCTGGCTAACACCGTGAAACCCTGTCTCTACTAAAAAAAAGTACAAAAAAATTAACCGGGCGTGGTGGCAGACGCCAATAGTCCCAGCTACTCAGGAGGCTGAGGCAGGAGAATGGCATGAATCCGGGAGGTGGAGCTTGTAGTGAGCCAAGATCACACCACTGTGCTCCAGCCTGGGTGACAGAGCGAGACTCCGTCTCAAAAAAAAAAAAAAATTCAGTTAAGTTCAAGTAGCTTTAATTCGTTGAGTTTTATATTAGATGACTTTGAGAAGGAATTTTCTGTTAGGCCAGATCTCACCTATCACATTATTGTAATCCTGGGATCAGGCAAGAATTAGAGAGCTATGGGCCATGATCCTGGCCTTTGTTGTTACTGCTTGAGGATTGAGGCATCTTTTTATAGCTTCTACTATTCTCTATAAATTTCTTCTTATCATGTGATTAAACAGTGGTTTACCATTAGATCATTTTTTCTTGAGTGTACCCCAAACTGCTTTACTACAGGGAGTTATAAAGGATGTCATTTAGGTAATAGATAGGAATTTCAGCCCTCATCCTTACACCTCTAGCTTTGTATGTAAATCTGACTGATCTCTGGGTTCTGAATGCCCAATTCCTTTTCTTCCTGATTTCTCAAAAATCCTATAGTCTCTCTGTTTTTGTCATGTCTCTGCCTAGTATATATTCAGTATTCACTGAGTTCCCCTGACTGTATGAGAAGAGAGTGGAATTCTTCTGATCATCAGTCTTATTTCTGCTCTGTGCAAATGCTTGTACAAATCAAACTAAATTCTTTGCTGTCATCTTCTGTTTCTGTTCTCTTTCATTTTGTGATGTAATTTGAGCTGAATCTTGGAAGTTTTGTCTCCTGGTGAAGCCTAGGCCTCTCTCAATAGCTTTCACCAGTTAATCCTTGGAATTAACAGCTATCATAGACATCGTTTATAGTCATCTATCATAAACAATGTACACAGTTAAATCTCAGGATAAATATTAATCAGTCACCATTTGCCTTAATTTAGCAAGTGGTTGTCAACTTTGGGTTTACATTTTTGCTACTCTTTAGCTTTCTACCTAAGAACAAAAATGGGATTGTTTGCGCTAAGCTGATTTTGTTTTGTTCTCAGGATGAACTAGCTCGAGTTCTGGTTACTCTGTTTGATTCTCGGCATTTACTCTACCAACTGCTCTGGAACATGTTTTCTAAAGAAGTAGAATTGGCAGACTCCATGCAGACTCTCTTCCGAGGCAACAGCTTGGCCAGTAAAATAATGACGTTCTGTTTCAAGGTTTGTATCATTCATTTTGTGTGCGTGTGTGTGCTGACGTATGTCAAGTAATGATTATGTACAGAATGTGCAGGACTGATTGTCTTCTTTTAAGGTAAAATATATGGAGCAGGCATAATCAACTCCTACTCATGCATTTCTGTAGGTATATGGTGCTACCTATCTACAGAAACTCCTGGATCCTTTATTACGAATTGTGATCACATCCTCTGATTGGCAACATGTTAGCTTTGAAGTGGATCCTACCAGGTTTGTCATCTTTTCACATAGAACTGCTCTGGTTTTTTTTTTTGTTTTGTTTGTTTTGTTTTGTTTTGTTTTTTACATGAAGCAAGGCCCCTTCTCCCCTTGATCATTAAAATTAGTTTTTAATTATAAAAGTTATATACAAATACACTTTAATGATATCTGTAATTTTTTTTTAAGGTATCCTTTTTTTTTTATTTGCCTTAGATCCAGGGACAGACTGGAGAAAGGTGTCTTTGACTTCCACCTCCAGAGACTGTTACTAGTTAAGTCTATTCCATTGTCATTTTTCCATGCATTTGCATATTCATATACAGTCACTCACATGCATACTCTTTTTCTAACTCACTTCTCCTATGATGAGGAGTGACTTAGGAGAAGGGAAAGAGGCTAATAGGTAATGTAGGGTGCAGTTTATTTATTTGTCTTTTTTTTTTTTTAATTTGAGACAGTCTCATTCTGCCATTCAGGCTGGAGTGCAGTGGTGCAGTCTTGGCTCACTGCAGCCTCTGCCTCCCAGGTTCGTGTGATTCTCGTGCCTCAGCCACCTGAGTAGCTGGGATTACAGGCATGCGCCACCACACCCAGTTAATTTTTTTTTTTTTTTTTTTTTTGTATTTTTAGTAGAGATGGTGTTTCACCATGTTGGCCAGGCTGGTCTCAAACTCCAGACCTCAGGTGATCTGCCTGCCTTGGCCTCCAAAAGTGCTGGAATTATAGGTGTGAGCCACCATGCCCAGCCCAGAGTGCAGTTTAAACCACCATTTCTGTGAAGCTTTCTCTGCCTGTTACCAGGGTACTACCCATGAACAAAGAAATATGCTTTGTTCTGTGCCTCACACCACCGTTGTAACAATTGGGATGGTTTATGAGTTTATCTCCCCTCTAGAGTGTTGGCTCTTACACATTTTTACATCTTTATATCCTTCCATGAGTATTTAGCATGGTGTCTGCCTTATAGTGAACATTTTATAAATATTTGTTAAGTGAATAAATTTTAACTGATTTTCTTATGCTTACTTTTTATAAGCCACATGTTAAGATGTTCTTGTCTTTCAGTTAGGACTTTATTTGCCATGTGTATGTTTTTTTTTATTTTTTATTTTTTATTTTTTATTTTTGGCTTTTTTTTTTTTGAGACACAGTCTTGCTTTGTCACACAGGCTGGAGTGTAGTGGCGCAATCTTGGCTCACTGCAACCTCTGCCTCCTGGGTTCAAGTGATTCTCCTGCCTCAGCCTCTTGAGTAGCAGGGATTACAGGTGCCCACCACGATGCCTGGCTAATTTTTGTATTGTCAGTAGAGACGGTGTTTCACCATGTTGATCAGGCTGGTCCTGAACTCCTGACCTCAAGCAATCCACCCCCCTCGGTCTCCCAAAGTGCTGGGATTACAGGTGTGAGCTACCACACCCAACCATGTAATATCTTTTTTCTTTCGTTTATTTTCAGTCTGTGTTTTTCCTTGTAGGTGAAGTCTGTTTCTTGTAGGCAACAGATTTTTGGGTCATGGGGGTTTTTTTGTTTGTTTGTTTTTAATCCATTCAACCACTCTTACGTCTTTTGATTGGAGAATTTAGTCCATTTACATTTGATGTTATTATTGACAAGGACTTACTCCTGCTATTTTGTTATTTGTTTTCTGGTTGTTTTGTGGTCTTCTCTTCCTCCTTTTCTTCCTTCCTGCCTTTCCTTTAGTAAAAGTGATTTTCACAGGTGGTATGTTTTAATTTCTTGCTTTTTATTTTTTGTACATCTGTTTTATGTTTTTGATTTGAGGTTACCATGAGGCTTGCCAATAATAGTTTATGAGCCATTCTTTTAAGCTGATGACAAGTTATCACTGGTTGCATAAAGCAGCAAACAAGCAAAAAGAAAACTAATAAAAACTCTACACTTTATCCCCCCACTTTTTAACTTTTTGTTGTTTTTATGTATACCTTATTATACTGTGTCTTGAAAAGCTGTAGTTATTATTTTTAAAAGGCTCATCTTTTAGTCTTCTCAAGATAGTAGTTCATACCACAATTACAGTGTTATAATATTTTGTGTATTTACTATTACCAGTGAGTTTTGTACCTTCAGATGATTTCTTACTGCTTGTTAATATCCTTTTCCTTTTGATTGAAGAACTCCCTTTAGCATTTCTTCTAGGACAGGTCTGGCATTGATAAAATCCCTCAGCTTTTGTTTGTCTAGGAAAGTCTTTATTTCTCCTTCGTATGTGAAGGATATTTTCACTGGATATACTGTTCTAAGGTAAAAGTTTTTTTTTTTTTTTTTCCTTTAGTACTTGAAATATGTCATGCCACTCTCTCCTGGCCTCTAAGGTTTCCACTGAGAAGTCTGTGGCCAGATGTATTGGAGCTCCATTGTATGTTATTTGTTTCTTTTCTCTTGCTACTTTTAGGCTCCTTTCTTTATCCTTGACCTTTGGGAGTCTGATTATTAAATATCTTGAGTTAATCTTCTTTGGTTTAAATCTGTTTGGTGTTCTGTAACCTTCCTGGACTTGAATATTGATAAATATCTTTCTCTAGGTTTCATAAGTTCTCTGTTATTACCTCTTTGAATAAATTTTCTACTGCTCTTTCTACCTCCTTTTTTTTTTTTTTTTTTTGAGACGGAGTTTCTTGTCGCCCAGGCTGCAGTGCAATGGTGCAACCTCTGCCTCTACCTCCTCTTTAAGGCCAGTAACTCTTAGATTTGCTCTTTTGAGGCTGTTTTCTGGATCTTGTAAGCATGCTTCATTCTTTCTTATTCTTTTTTGTCTCCTCTGTGTATTTTCAAATAGACTGTCTTCAAGCTCACTAATTCTTCGGCTTCATCAATTTTGCTTTTAAGAGACTCTGATGTATTCTTCAGTATGTCAGTTGCATTTTTCATCTCCAGAATTTCTGCCTGGTTCTTTGTAATTGTTTCAATCTCTTCATTAAATTTATCTGGTAGGATTCCCATTCCTTCTCCGCGTTATCATGGATTTCCTTGAGCTTCCTCAAAATAGCTATTTTGAATCCTCGGTCTGAGAGGTCACATATCTCTGTCTCTCCAGGATTGATCATTGGTGCCTTATTTAATTTGTTTGGTGGGTCATGTTTTTCTGGATGGTCTTGATGCTTATGGATGTTCATTAGTGCCTGGGCATTGAAGAGTTAGGTATTTTTATAGTATTTATAGTCTGGGCTTGTTTGTACCTATCCTTCTGGGGAAGGCTTTCCAAGTATTTGAAGGCACTTGGGTGTTGTTATCTAAGTCTTTGGTCACTGCAGCTATATCTGCTTTAGGGGACACTCCAAGCCCAGTAATGCTGTGGCTCTTGTACACTCTTAGCGGTACCACCTTGGTGGTCTTGGGTAAGATCCTGGAGAATTCCCTGGGTTATCAAATGGAGACTCTTGTTCTCTTCCCTTACTTGCCTCTAAACAAACAGAGTCAGTCTGTCTCTCTTTCTCTCTTTCTGTCTGTGTGTGTGTGTTGAGCTGCCTGTAGCTGGAGGAGGGGCGACACAAGCAGCCCTGTGGCCACCACCACTGGGAGTGCACTGGGTCCCAAGGCCTGCAGTACTGCTGCCTGACTACCACCTGTGTTCACTCAAGGCCCAAGGGCTCTACAGTCAACAGGTGGCAAACCCAGCCAGGCTTGTGTTCTTCCCTTTAGGCAGTGAGTTTTCCATGGGTCCATAGATGCTGTTCAGGAGCCAGTGACTAGAGTTGGATACATTAGAGATCTATGTAGTGCTCTATTCTGCTGCGGCTAAGCATTAAGCTGGCACCCAAGCTGTAAAACAAAGTCCTTCCCACTCTTCCCTCCTCTTTTCTCAAGCAGAGGAGTCTTTTCCTATGGCTGCCATTGCCCCAGGTCCATGGTGAGAGCTGCCTGGCTATCACTGATGTTCACTCAAGGCTCAAGGGCTCTTCATTCAGCTTGTGGTGAATGCTGCTAGTTCTGAGTCTCTCCCTTAAGGCCATGGGGCTCCCCTCTAACCCAGGGCAGGTCCAGGAAAGTCTTCCAGGAGCCAAGGCCTGGAATCTGAGACCCCAGGAACCTACTTAGTGCTCTACCCTACTGTGTTGAGCTGGTACCCAAGTTGCAACACAGAGTCCTCTTTATTCTTACCTCTTCTTTCCTCAAGCAGAAGGGATGTGTCTCCATGGCCACCACAGTTGCTAATGTGCTGGGTAACACCTGAAGTCAGCATGTCTCCCAAGTCTCACCCAAGGACCACAAGTACTGCCTGGCTATCCCTGCTGGTTATTCGGGGCCAAGGGCTCTTTAGTCAGCAGGTGATGAGTTCTGCCAGGACTGGGTCCTTCCTTTTAAGACAGCAGATTCCCTTCTGGCCCAGGGTTTGTTTAGGAGTGTTATCTGGGAGCTAGGGCCTGGAATGGGGGCCTCAGGACTCTGCCTGGTGCCCTCTCCTACTGTGGCTAAGCTGGTAGTTGCAAGACAAGGTCCTCTTTACTCTCTGCACTCTTGTATTTGAACAGAGGGAGGGTGTCTCTGTTGGAGCTACGAACTGAGCTGAGCTGCCTGGGTTTGGGAGAGGGGTGATGTAAGCATTCCCTTGGCTGCCCTGGCTGTCTCACTAGGTCTACCCCAAGTCCACTGGCTCTGAGCCCAGCACAGCACCAGGACTTACCCAGAAACTGCAGTCCTTGTGTGCCTAGACTGCCTTTCAAGTTTATTTAGGACTTCAGGGCACTTGAGCTCTTGGTAGTGGGGCTTGCTGGAACTCAGGTTTCAACAACTGGGATGGGTGATTTACCTCTGGCTAGGTCTGTTCTAAGTTCTCTATCCGTGAGCACTAGTTGAGCTCTGCCCTGTGTTGCTTTCTGCTATGACAGGGCAGCATTGAGTTCTTATGCAAAGCTCCATAATCACTGCGCTGTCCGTCCCCCAAATGCAGATTTTCTTTGCACACCATGGGGCCACTGCCAGGAGATGAAGGAAGGGTGATATAGGTAATTCAAGACAGTTTTTCCTACTCACTTCAGCGCCTCTTTCCTTAATATGATGTTAAGACCAGGTATTTTGATTACTTACCTGATTTTCAGTTCTTATGAAGGTGCTTTTTTTGTATGGATGATTGTTCAGATTGGTGTTCCAATAGGGGGGACGATCCCTGGAGGCTTCCATTCAGCCATCTTGCTCCACCTCCAATTCTGAAGCTGGTTCTTTGAAAATCAACTTGAGCGAAAAGTTTTATACACAGGAACACTTGAATAATTGAACACAGATGTTCATTGTAGTTCAGAATTACTAGAATATTCAACAGGTTACCATTGGCATGTGGGAAGCAAGAGAGCACTGTGGCTAGAACGTATTGTTTTATAGGGAAACCTGAAATGGACTGCAGTGTTCCTGCTGCTATGCTGACTCAAAAAAACAAACAAAAAAAAAAGGCAATTGTCCGGGTTTCTAGCAGTCTCTTTGAACCTTGTTAAATAAATTGTTAATCTCATTCATACCCACCAATTTCTAGGCCTCCATATCTAAGATTTGGATTACTGTTGTATCTTAACGTTCTGCCTGCATATAATCCCCATATTTAGACAGTCTCTTCAATTAGCCACATATTGCAAGTTCATTTTCCTCCTCTGGTTTCCTAACAATCATCAGCCATTCTCCAATGGATACCAACCAGGTGTCCTTGTGATTCAGTTCAACTGTGACACTGTTTACCTGGAATGAACATCAGATTTCCCACAGGATGAGGGCTGAGTGAGGTTGCCACCACTAAAGATGCCAATTACAAGCCACAGGTTGTTACCTGTGCTTCTCACAGTCTCACCTTGAGTTGGATTAATTTGCTAGAATGGCTCACAGAACTCAGGGGCATACTTTACTTTCGTTTGCTTACTTACTATAAAGGATATCACAAAGGGTACAGATGAACAGCCAGATGGAAAAGATGCACACAGGGCAAGGCATGTGGGAAGGGGCTTAGAGCTTCCATGCTGTCTCCAGATGCACTATCCTCTAGGCACCTCTGTGTGTTTGGCAACCTTTAAGCTCTTCAAACTCTGTTCGTTGGGTTTTTATGGTGGCCTCATTACATAGGCATGATTGATTCAATCATGTGTGGTTGGTGATAAACTCAACCTTCAGCCTCTCTCCTCTCCTTGGAAGTTGGGGAGTGGGGCTGAAAGTCTCAACCCTCTAATCATAACTTGGTCCTTCTGGTGACTAGCCCCATCTTGAAGCTCCCTAGGGCCTCCCAGCCACTGGTCATCTCATTATCATACAAAAGACACTCAGCACTTCCAGAGATTCCAAGGGTTTTAAGAGCAATGTGTCAGGAACCAGGAGCAGAGACCAAATATATGTTTATCACAATATCCTTGAGTTATTGTATTGAGTTCTTAGTGTGGAATACCTGGTGTATATGTCTTTCTCCTTTTTGAAAAGGTCAAAAGGCAATTATTGTTGAATCCTCAGCACCTGACACTAAGATGGCAAATAGTAGATGTGCACTAAATGTTTATTGGATTGAACTGATTACCTGCCCTACCTACTTTCTCTTTCTGAAATACCCTTACTTCTTTTGTCTATGCAAATTCTATGCCTCCTTTGGAACTCACCTGTTCAATGAAATATTTCCTGCTTTGCAGTCCATGCTAATTTCTGAACTCTTACTGTATTCAATGCTGTACCACACAGCAAACTCTTAAGGAGTCTAGAGCAATGACGTAAGTGTCCAAAGCATTTCTGTAATGCGTTAATTAATATAGAAACAAAATTACTAGTTAATCTGTTAAAACAAATATTTACTCAGTACTTGCTGTGGTAAGGCACTGTGCTAGTCTTTAAGGGGACATAGGTAAACACTTCCTTCAAGGAGCTTACAGTTTAGTAAGAGGGATAAAACACATAACAGATAAGTGGTCAGTTTCATAAGGGATGTATTTTGAGAGTTCAGATTAGGCTAGTTAGAGAGTAAAGGCTTGTGGATTTGATTGCTATTGGGTAAAATTTAAACTACATAAAGCAGGCATTATTATTCCTGTGTTATTGATGAGAAAAAATGACACCCAGAGAATTTAAGGATTGTGACCAAGCTCATAATGATCCATGACTGATACAACTGAAATTTAAACCTAGTAAATCTGCCTGCGGAATCTCTTCGCAACACCAGAGTTTAAAGGTGGTACTGATAAGAGTTAGCAACACCGGGGTGGGCGTACTGGCTCATGCCTGTAATCCCAGCACTTTGGGAGGCTGGGGCAGGCAGATCATGAGGTCAAGAGATCAAGACCATCCTGGCCAACATGGTGAAACCCTGTCTCTACTAAAAATACAAAAATTAGCTGGGTGTGGTGTTGGTGCTCAGCTGTAGTCCCAGCTACTGGGGAGGCTGAGGCAGGAGAATCACTTGAACCCAGGAGGCGGAGGTTGCAGTGAGCCGAGATTGTGCCTCTGCACTCCAGCCTGGCAACAGAGCGAGACTCTGTCTCAAAAAAAGAAAAAAAAGCAACACTGATTGGATATGGGGAATAATGAAGTAGAGCAGGAAAAAGTGACATCAGAGATGGCCTGAACGATGTGATTAAGAAAGTGATAGTGCTATTGATAACATAGGACACAGGATAAGACATACGAGTATAAGGAAAAATCAGTTAATTTGGGGCATACTGATTTTTAGATATTAGTGGGGAGGGGACATCTAGCAGTTAGAAACGTCAGACTGGATGTGAAATGCAGTTCAAAATAAGGGAAACCTGAATGGCCACAAAATATCTAAAAGCATGTCTAACCTTAGTAGGAACTGTGGAAATAGAAGTTAAAAACATGAACTACCTCATGTTTTTCCCACCTACTAGTTTGGAGGGGAATAAGAATTCTTATACAGTACTAGTTTTAGAGCTATTTGGCAATTATCTAGTAAAGTTAAATCTGCATATACTCAATAACTCAGAAATTTCATTTTTAGGTAGCTGCCTTAGAGAAACTCTTATGTGCAAGAATGTTCATTGCAGTGGTGTCTATAAAGGTGAAAAATGTTTAATGTTCATTAATTAGAGAATAGATAAATCATGGTATACAATAGACTGTTATGCAGTAAAGTGAACTATATATTCATCTATCAACATGGATATCAGAAACATGATATAGAGTGAAAGATGAAGGTTGCATTTTGTTACTATTGATGAAAAAATTAAAAACCTACATCATTCAGCTAGGCGTGGTGGCTTATGCTTGTAATCCCAGCACTTTAGGAGGCTGAGGCAGGTGGGTCACTTGAAGTCAGGAGTTCGAGACCAGCCTGACCAACGTGGTGAAACCCCGTCTCTACTAAAAATATATAGTTAGCCGGGTGTGGTGGCACATGCCCGCAATCCCAGCTACTTGGGAGACTGAGGCAGGAGAATCGCTTGAACTCGGGAGGCGGAGGTTGCAGTGAGCTGAGATTGTGTCATTGCACTCCAGCCTGGGCCACAAGAGTGAAACCCCATCCTCCCGACCCCTCCACCCCCCCACCCCCCCCAAAAAGCCCTACATCATTCATATGTGTGTGTTAATTTTTTCATACGGGCATATACACATAAAGGATTGTGAATTGGAAAAATATGTGCTATTCTTGTTTTATCTGTCCTCTCTCTCCCCGCTTTTGTTGCTTGGGTATTTTAAAGCGTGTCTCAGAGATCATGTTTCTAACAGATATAGACTTAAACACACACATGCGTGCGCAGCCTGAGTATTTCCACACAAATTAAAGTTAGTAATCCTGAATAATATATCTAAGACTAGTTTTCTGTTAAATTTTTTTCAGTTATCTCAAAATCATCTTTTTTTTTATTTTTATTTTTATTTTTGAGATGCAGTCTTGCTCTCTCATCCAAGCTGGAGTGCAGCGGTGCAATCTTGGCTCACTGCAGCCTCCACCTCCCAGGTTCAAGCGATTCTCCTGCCTCAGCCTCCTGAGTAGCTGGGATTGCAGGCACCTGACTAATTTTTGTATTTTTAGTAGAGATGGGGTTTCACCATGTTGGCCAGGCTGGTCTTGAACTCCGACTTCAAACGATCTGCCAGCCTTGGCCTCCCAAAGTGCTGGGATTGCAGGCGTAAGCCACCGTGCCCTGTCAAGGTTGTCTTTTTTATAGTTGGTTGTTTAAAGATTCCAAGGAAGTCCACACCTTGCATTTGGCTTAATGTCTCTAAAAGAGTCTCCTTTAAGGAGTGATTTTTGTTATTTGTTTGAAACAAAAGTGTTAGGATTTTTATTTTTTTGTAGGTTAGAACCATCAGAGAGCCTTGAGGAAAACCAGCGGAACCTCCTTCAGATGACTGAAAAGTTCTTCCATGCCATCATCAGTTCCTCCTCAGAATTCCCCCCTCAACTTCGAAGTGTGTGCCACTGTTTATACCAGGTATGCTTACAGTTAGAGATTACCATTATTAATCTAAAGTTAAATTATGAAGAATGCTTTATCAAAGAAGGATCTAGCTGCTGATGGTGTGTGGTTAACTATAATACTGAGTGAGTTTGGGTGAATAACACATTGAGAATTGTTGTTGGAATTGTCTTTGAAAAAACTTAAATATTACTTAGGCAACAGTTTGAAGTAAGAGAAGACTTTAAAATACTAAATTTTCCTTGCATTGGGAGCAAGTTTAAAATGCAGTGAATCCACTGGATGTGATGGGTGTGACTGAAATGAACATATTATGGATTTTTGTTGTTGTCGTCTATTAACCTAAATTATTTACAGGGTGTTTCACAGTTAAGGCGGGTCTCCTCCTCGCTTTTTTTGCCTTGTGAATTGCTTGATCATCTGTGATTTTGGTTTCTTCATTAATATATAATTAGTTTGTGTCAGGTTTTCCCAGGATAGACTGATTGTTCTGTTTATGTAGCATGTTTCTTAAAAGAGATATTGCATCATCATCATTCAGACCAAATTATTAGACTTTCTAACATTAGCACTGCAAGTAATGCATCTGAATTCAGAAGATAGCCATAGTCATGGCCTTCTTTTTGAAGGAATTAGGTCTATGTTCTTTTATGCCTTCTACTGTGTTTTTGAATTGCACATTGCAGTTTTAGGAATTATTTATTCCAAGGGAGATCCTGCAAATGCACATTAGCCTTTTGGAAACTATGATTCTGGAAGAAACATTAGTGGGTCTGGAATTTGGGGTAGGGGCGGGTATAAGGTAAATAAATACACAGTTATCAAAACCCATGTCTTTGTGTCTCTCTCTTTGCAGAGTCATCGCAGCCATTTGCTTTTTTTAGCACACGGCTTCAGTTGCTTAGAGACGTTAACAGCATCATTGAAATCACCATTTTAAAAGCTGTTTGAGGCTGCTCTATGTGAATTTTTTCCCCATTGCTATTTTTAAAGATGTATTTGTTCTATCTGTAAAAAAGCTTTTCACAGTATACCTAGATGATAAAACATACTTAACATTGTCTCTCTTAATTTATCGTGACTTTTCTGTCTTTACAAAAAGACTCAAAGAAACTTAGGAAAATCCTACATAATTTTTTCAGCTAGTTAAATCTGACTCTAAAGGGTGGTTTAGTTATAATATGAAACTTAATATAGTGAATATCTTCTCTTAAGTTTGGGCTGTATTCAGGTTTCTCTTTAAATTTTATTTAGTAATTGTTCTATTGATGAAACTAGGCAGACAGGAAATAGCACATATTAAAAATAGTCTGGGTTGACTTCTTGGTTGGCCTTGTGGTAACTGGTGTCAGAGAGCAAGTGGGTTTCTAAAATGACAGTGGCTTTGACTTTAGCTGGGGTTAAAAGTGAATGGGGACTGACTACATGATTACATGGTCTAGGAGATTGTAGTAGAATTTCTTCATGTGATTGTCATCCTAAAAGAAAAATCTTTTTGTATCATCAGCAAACTTGGAGACCATTTCAAGACCATGATTCTGATAATGTAAAAGGAACAGGTCTTAGCACTTATTTAGTACTTAAGAAATATTTAATGAAGAAATAAATTTCCCCATCCCTCCCACCTAAGTAAACAAGATTCTTGCCAGCTTTCATAGCTGAGAAAGGAGGAAAATAGTGAAAATAGAAAATAAATTTTTAAACACTATATGTGGTGGTTATTAAACAGTATGTTATGCTTTTTAGAGCACTTCACAATAAAATATCCTGTATTAATAACAAACCTAGATTATTATTTTAAAATTTCACATAAAATTATTATCTTTAAAAACATGAATTAAATGTGGTATTAGTGCGTTGAGTATTGGGTAAAAGCATTGTTGAAGAGCAGAGACAGTATGCTGTGTTGTTATTAAATAAGGCTTTATTTTTAAATTAGTAATTGGTAACATTTACTGATTAGAAAGAAAGATAGGGCCGGGCACGGTGGCTCAAGCCTGTAATCCCAGCACTTTGGGAGGCTGAGACGGGCAGATCACGAGGTCAGGAGATCGAGACCATCCTGGCTAACACGGTGAAACCCCGTCTCTACTAAAAAATACAAAAAACTAGCCGGGCGAGGTGCCAGGCACCTGTAGTCTCAGCTACTCGGGAGGCTCAGGCAGGAGAATGGCGTAAACCCAGGAGGCGGAGCTTGCAGTGAGCTGAGATCCGGCCACTGCACTCCAGCCTGGGCGACAGAGCAAGACTCTGTCTCAAAAAAAAAAAAAAGAAAGAAAGATAGGAAAAACGCTTTGGTCTCAAGATAGTATTTTATTGAGTCTGCTCCCCAAACCTAGTTTTTTTCCTTTTCATTTGCTCTTTTGTTTTTATTTGTCTTCCCTCTTCTGACTTCTTCTTGCCCCTTTGCCTTTGGCAGTAACACAAGTGTACCTTCCTGCCCTTCTGTGTTCTGCCTGGAGGGATAGTAGTCCCTTGGCTCCTGCTTTGGGACCTACTGGGGAAATGTTGAAAGGGAAGTGAGTATATTGCTAGCTGATAAACTTCCCTGGACTTTAGCCCCTTTTTTGAGTTCTTATCTTGGCCTTTAAGCCTTTTAAAATCATGCTTTAACCAGCTGTACTTTATATACCTTCCTTCCTTAGTTGACTAGATTAAGGTTATATAAGAATAGCCAACTGTGAACATGTGTCAGATTTATAATTAAATCATTTTCTCATGTGTTGTTTTCACTTCTCCTGATGGTTTTAGAATAAAGATAAAATAATTCCCAGAGTGCATATTCTCTTATGGTGAGAGAATTCTAAGAACTAATTTATGATTCTAAATAAATCTCACCTTTTTTCAGTAAATCTCCTTCTCCAGACTGAAGTAGTTTACACAAATTTTTAAGGCTATAAATATACCATGGTTACTAATACATTTGTATATAGTATAAAGTTTGAAACAAAGCTCGGTGAGCTAAGGGGCTGTGTCTTCTTGTTTTACTGCTATTTCCCAATGCCTAGAATGGTATTTGACATTTAGGTACACAATAACTGCTTGGATAGATGAATGGGTGGGTGGATGAATGGATGTCTAACTAACTTAAAGCCCAAGTTATGGTTATGGTGTTGGATGCCCAGAATTCCTAGAATAAGATGCCATCTATTTGTGGATTAAATAATTCTGACATGGTTTTTGAAATATTTTAAAAATAATTATTCTGCCTAGGCTAGTCCTATCAAGAGTCTTTTAACTTTGAAAGAATTCTCTGGTCTAGAAAGAGCTCTGAGAGATGAAGCCAATATGTGTCTGGAGTTTTGGGATTTTTTAAGTGGCCTTTTTTTTTTTTTTTTTTTTTTAGATATTTTGATCAATGGTCAACTGTAATATGTGAAGTTTTAAGCAGGCCTACAGTTTTGTTCTGTAATTTTCTCTGCAGTTTCTTCACTTTAATAATATTAATGCTTCTTACTAGTTGAGCTGATAACCTTCTTCTCCCAAATGTTGCAGAGCTTTTAACCTCCTCTGATTAGAACCATTTCAGGAAGTAGCCTGCAAACATTGAAAAATAATGTGAAATGATAAGAGTAATCTTTTTTAGGGAGAGATAGGTCTTTAATTCAGAATTTCTAAAGTGCATTTTTATATTTATCCATATAATTTTTATTTCTTTGTTCAATAGGATCTTAATTAAATGCCAGGTGTTGGAAAAAGAACTTAAAGTCAATTGAAGGATACACAGAGAAGAATTTTACGTATCAAGAAAAAATTATGTAGACACAAATGTTTTTAGTGTGTGATCTACTTGTAATGAGTATTTTATATTAAATTTCTCAAAAGCTAGGAATTAACCAAAATGTAAATATTTAATATCCTCAAATTCACTTGGGGAGAGTTTTTCTGTGATTCATAGCCAGAAATAGTAGACATGATTGGGTCTCAACATTTCTTGCTGTTTTAGTGCTTGGCTTAAAAATGTAATAAAAATTAAAACCCAGAATTAAAATTCATTCCTCAAAATTCAGTTGATTTCTAATTTTTTGTTGATTCCATTTGTGTTACATTTTATGGTGTAATTTTATGTACAAGCCAACATTGTTTTTGTTGCTGTATGTAGTCGGTGCTGTGACTTGTTTGTGCTCATCTCTGTTCTGTAGGCAACTTGCCACTCCCTACTGAATAAAGCTACAGTAAAAGAAAAAAAGGAAAACAAAAAATCAGTAAGTTTGGAGAACTTTTTACTAGCTGTTTCTTTCAAAGCAAAACAAAAATCTTTTGCTGTTTGTTAAGAATATCTTCACTTCAGCCTATTTGACCTTCACTGTAAAATCATTCTACTAATTCTGGCACAAAATAGCTTTCATTTCAATTAACCCTGGAATTAAGTTACATTGAAACATTCTCTGTGTTCCTTTGGTTTGATTTATCCCAAAGGCAATTTGTGGGCATTTGTTGCATTGGATATCCTTGGTCTAATTTTATTATTGTTACTTTTTAAATTATAAATGAATGCAAAGAAACTTAATTTCAAGGCCTTAGGAAACGCTGACTCTCTTCTTTCTTGCTTCTTGTTTGAAGGTAATGTGAGTGGTTTCTTTTTCCAGAGATGACAGTGTTTCTTAATTGTTAGAAGTATATGGTGGGAAAGTGTCACTTTCTAAATCTTACCTAAAAGTTGCTAAATTTTATTTTTTTACTCTTCATATTTTTGTCTAGGCAGTCCCAGGCATAATTTAGATATTTGTGCATAGTTTCCTAGAAATTTTAATGGTAAAACTACTTTTACCTCAAAAAAAAAAAGGAGGTAAATGATAAGATAGTATTTTTGAGATAAAAGAAAACTGAGTTCGTATGTGTAGAAAAACACATCATTCTGCAAACATAATGTGAACTTGGCCTGATTTATTTAAAAGGAAGAAAATTATGAAAGTCATAATTATTTTCTTCCAGTGAATGGAATTTGTACAAAATATAACATGCATTCATTTAACATTTGCCATTATTTGTCAGAGTGACTTATCAGGCTGAGCCCTGTCTTTGTTCATATAATCCAAATGATTGTAGAGTAAGATGTAAAGAATACTTTTAGGAGTCAAGTAGGTAGTTTTCTTAAAAGGGTGTAATTTAGAATACAGTGTTCATCTGGTTTCATCTTTCATTCCTTGTCTAAACTTTACATATAATAAAGCTTTATGGCAGGGCACAGTGGCTCATACCTGTAATCCCAGCACTTTGGGAGACCAAGGTGGGAGGATCTCTTGAGCCCAGGAGTTCAAGACCAGCTTGGGCAACATAGCAAGTCATCTCTACAAATATATATATATTTTTAATTAGCCAAGCGTGGTGGTATACTCCTGTAGTCCCAGCTACTCGGGAGGCTGAGGCAGGAGGATTACTTGAACCCAGGTGGTTGAGGCTGCAGTGAGCCGTGATTGTACCACTGTACTCCACCATGAGTGACAGAGTAAGACCCTGTCTCACAAAAATCTCACAAAAAAAGAAAAAGCTTTACATATGTTTCTAAGCTTTACATATAAATTGTCTAAGCGTTAAATATAGATTTTTAAAAATTCAAATCAAAATTTAAATTTATAGACATACTTTTGTTGTGTCCATTGAAGATTTTATTTTTGAGTATATTAAGTAAATTTGACTAGCTATGATCAAATTGATTGGATTATAAAGACGTTTCTAATGCCTCAGACTTCTAATTCTCAGTATATGTGAGTTTAACATAATGTACACCATCATCGTTGAAATTAATTTGCTGCTTCTAACACTCTTGTTCAGTGTTATACTAATGCCATTTTGTAGTGTATCACGTAATTAAAATTCAGGCATTCTGTGTTTCTCTAAAGCATGTTTTCTAGCCTTCCTAACACTGCTTTATTTATTAAGATTTTGTCTAAAATTGTTTCTTGAAATGTTTTTTCTACTAGAGTTGTTTTCAAAAAAAATTTTTTTAATTTCTGAGTAATACTAAGTTTTGGAATATATTTCTCAGTACAGGTAATATGAGCTCCTCATGGAAACAAGGGGAATCTAATTGGTAATTTGAGATATTTTAGAGTACATTCCAAAGTATGAAGACAGTATACTCATAAATTTAAGTTGTTTTATGGAGTTGTGTGCTTTAACAAAATCTAATGATCTTTAAGAGCTGACTTTCTTTTTGGGTGTATGTATCATGGATTGGAATATGTAAAATATAGAGAGATGTGGCTTCTAGTATATAACTGTGTAGTCACATTACAGATAACTGTTTATTCTCAAACATATAGTGTATAATGAGGTTTACTTTGAAAGTTAACTGTCTGCCTAACTCAGGGAGAATGCAGTAACTAAGCATATATGGGTAGTAACGCTCTTGCTGAAGTGTAGTTTGTGACTGCGTGCATTCACATTATGTAGTCAGCTTTTACCAGAGGAAGAAAGGGGACATTTGGCTGATAACGGGTCTCAACACACAGACTGGCCCAATTTTGACCTTTTATGCAGAATGTCTTTTGGATCCAAATTAGATTTTTATGAATTAAAAAACCAATAGAGCATGTATGTATTATGAGGTAAAATTACATTGGCATCAATTAGTGTTGAATGAAAAAAAGACAGTCCTTTTATAAGTTGACTTATGAAACTTGTTATATAGCATTTTTATTGGTTTTTAAAATCAGTTTTTAGTTCCAAAATTGTATTGATTTCTGCCATCAGTGTGATACATAGTTATATGATACATGAAACAGTATGTGTTCCTGAGGTGTGGATATTTTGGGTTTTAACATGAATTATTTTAAAGATGTGGAAGATGGTAAAACTGTGGTACTTTTTGTAAATTTTACAATATTCTTTTGGGAAATCACTTAGTTTTTCATTAAATTCTGATGCTGAGTACCATTAAGTATAAATCAGGTATAAATATGAGTCACACTTTAAAACTTCTTTGTGCTAGAGAAAACCAGTAAATAGCTACTTCCAAAAAAGTATTTTGTCTAATTGATGATAACCATTACAAATTTCCTTGTTCCTTCTCCACTCCCAGTGCTTCATTTTACTAGCGTAAAAAATGAAACAGTATTTTGAAAGCTCTCTATGTGTTTCACAGCAGGTTAACATTTTATAAACTAACTGGTTCTTTGAAAATTAAACTATGGCTTTTAGTTTTTTAAAAACCATTTTAGAATTTTAATGGGTTAAACTTATTAGATGCTAATTCTTTTAAAATAATCTATTTTAAAATAATTATAAAGTAATTTTTAATCCTTTTCCCTCCTGCTGACTCACTCCTTAAGGGCTTTAAAATGTTATAGGTTTGTTTTGTCTGCCTTTTTATATTTATTTATTTATTTATTTATTTATTTATTTATTTATTTAATTTATTTTTGAGACAGAGTCTCTCTGTGTCACCCAGGCTGGAGCGCGGTGGCACAATGGCTCACTGCAACCTCCACCTCCTGGGTTCAAGCGATTCTCCTGCCTCAGCCTCCCAAGTAGTTGGGATTGCAGGTGTGCGCCACCACGTCCAGCTACTTTTTGTATTTTTAGTAGAGATGGGGTTTCGCCATGTTGGCCAGGCTGGTTTTGAACTCCTAGCCTCAAGTGATCTGTCTGCCTCGGCCTCCCAGAGTGCTGGGATTACAGGTGTGAGCCACCACGCCCAGCCAGAGAGTTGTCTAAGATTAAAATTTGGGAGTTTTAGAAGAACCACTCAGTAGTTCTTGAATGATGGTCTATGAATATTCTAAAATTATGTGAAGAATTTTGTGTGTGTGAATGCATACATTCATTTTTCTAACCTTTATCAGATTTCAGAGAGGTTCCTCATCCCCAGAAGGTTGAAACACCGTACTGGAATAGTTGAAGCACTCGAATTTTTTCTTAATTTTACATCTTTCTATAGTTTCAGCTAAAACTTCTGTGTCTAATTCTAAATTTATATATTTGAGCTAAAAATAAATGGTATTTAGGTTTTAAAGACATTCGAATAAAGCAACTATATTTAGTCACCTTCACCAGTTTCCCTTATTTAAGAGTTAAGGTTGTTCTTCATGCAATAAACACTGTAACATAAAGAAAGCTTCCTGAACTACGTGTAGTGTAACTGAAGGTGGGACTATATTAGTTACAACTGACCTCTTTTTATCACCTCTTACTAATATTTTTTTCTCTAAAATCTAGTTTTTACTAACTTCCTATTAGAGATTATAGAAAGCTATTTTGAGATTATAAGCAGTGATAACGCATTTAAAATGTGGACTGCTTGAAGCACTGCATTGAACAGGGTGAAGTGAAATAATCCCAATTCTTTCCAGAGTTAATCTGGAGTCAGCCTGTCATAATTTATGTCATAATTTCCTGTCATAACTTATGACAGGAAATATTTATTGAGGCATTGTGAAAAAAATAGCTACGTGATATTCTGCATGTAAATCTGGGACCCCCCCCCCCCCACCAATATCCTTTGAAATGAAGGTTTATCCTTGGAATCGCAGATTATTGAGTGAAATGCTACAGTTTTGTAGTCACTGCTAGTTTAAACAGCAGTTAGCCACACTAAGCAAAAATAGCTGTAGAGATTAAAATGTTACATTAAGTGTTCTTTAAAAATACACATATATAGTATATATATAAAATGTAAATTGCAAAATATAATTTTCATCTATAACATGATTTAAAGTAGGGGACACTGGGAAGGGATGGGAGCTGAACCAGTTTTATAGCACTCTTCCCAAGCTAAGGTACCTTTTACTTTATCTTAATGTAGAATGTTTTATAAAGGGAAATAATCCATTTTTAATATTGGGTTCACATTGCTTTTCAGGCTGGACAACCATTTCTTGAGTTCTTAAATTATTTTTATTTGACAGAATTATAAATTGAGGTAGATACAGGGATTCTCTCTTCTGGTGAGATCCTTTTTTCTTTTAGGTCCCCAAGAATTCCCATCCCTCCATGGTTTAAATAATAGGTAGGTTCTAATAAAGGAAGCTATGAAGAAAAGGAACTGGCAGTAACATTACTTGTAAGTAAGTTGTTTTTTTTTTCCTCAGGAATCTAAGATTTTGTTTTGTATATGGCCAGCATTTTTTTCTTAAATTCAGTTGTAACTGGTACACAACAAAATGTAAATATGTACTATCAGGTATAGGATATTTTGGGGATGTGCTGTTGAAAATTTAGTTTCACCTTATAAAGTTGACCACACTTTCATGTCTGTTAATCTTAGTAAATTATGATCATCTTTGTGTGAAAATTTGGTCTGCTTTCATTACTCATCAAACTTGCGGTACAAGTGATGATACAGTGAAGATCTTTTTTCAGGTTTCTTCTGCCCATCTCATCCATGAGGTTTTTCTTTCCTCTGAGATACCTTAATTGTACTTTAATATGATACAAGACTAGAATTGAGAGGAAACCATTTTCTCTTGTTTTGGGAGAAGAAAAAAATAGAAATATGTCATTCATGAGGACTGATTGATTCAGAGTGTTTGTGCGAAGTTTGACCGTTGAACTCTTTGTTTTCATGTCCTTATTTTAATTCAGACCTTATACTCAATTCTCAACTCCTTGTTTTTAGGTGGTTAGCCAGCGTTTCCCTCAGAACAGCATCGGTGCAGTAGGAAGTGCCATGTTCCTCAGATTTATCAATCCTGCCATTGTCTCACCGTATGAAGCAGGGATTTTAGATAAAAAGCCACCACCTAGAATCGAAAGGGGCTTGAAGTTAATGTCAAAGGTGAATTATTTTGATAATCTAACTATCTTAAATTCCCTTTGCAACTAAATTTTCAGCTTTTCTTATAGTACTTCCTCTTAAATTTATATTTGAAATACCCTATGGTTTTCAGTTATGTGTTTTTGTTTTATTTTGTTTATATTACAAAGGAATTCATTAGGTACCTGATGGACCTTATTTTCATGAGAAAACATGTTGTTATAGCAGATGTCTTGTGTTATGAAGATCATTTTTTGCATAATCATTCTAGACATTCTGAAACAGACTAGAATGTAGACTATAGGATTTTTTTAAAAAGGCATTCAATATTTTTAATACGTATTTTTACATGTAAATATAATAATTATATTTGGGAAGGATAGAAACACTACCTAAAATAAGTTATAGAATGAGGAACGATTAATTTTTAAGTACTAGCAGAAATATAAATGAGAAAATTCATGCTTTTAAAGAATATATTAATGTATAGACTTCATACAATAAATAATCTGATTATTTATAACCCTGTTTTATTGTATAGATACTTCAGAGTATCGCCAATCATGTTCTCTTCACAAAAGAAGAACATATGCGGCCTTTCAACGATTTTGTGAAAACCAACTTTGATGCAGCACGAAGGTAATTTACTTACCACTTATTCAGTTGCTCTGTTTGAATCAAATATTTTCAGTTTCACATAAGTCCATGTACCTGTTTTACATGAAGTTCCAGTGTAGGTTTTTTTCTTTTCCTGCTCGAGGTCAAGACATAACTTGTCTTATTTTATTTTACTATAAAAGACAGTCATGAAATAAAATAATATTTTTTATAATTTGATAGTGATTTTCATATTTGAAAACCAAGAGGGATTTTTGACATGTCTAGTTAAATAAAGGATTTGAGGATGGTTCAATATGGGGACAAGGAAGAAGTAGGATTCTTTTTATTTAAAACTAAAACCATGGTATCAATAATATATAACAATGTTTAATAAGTTTTTTTTGATGTTAGAGTATTTGTGGTACTTAAATTTGGAAGTGTATCTAAACTAAAATGTTATTCTTTAAACCAAGTAAAGCAAACACGTAAGATTTTGTTTATGAGAAACTGAACTTGATGATTGTAGAAAACTCTTCTGCTACATTTCCATAACTAGTTATTTCACTTTATTTCTCTGAGTTACTGGTTTATCTGTAAAGTGGGAATAAAGTCTTTGCCTGAGTTGTTTTTAGAGAAAAAAAATGAGATAATTCATAAGAAAGTGTTTTGTAAATTTATGTCTGGAATTCTGCTTTTCATGTAGTATGAATCTAATTGATCCTTGTCATCTAAGCTAGGCTTGTACAACTCTCTCTTCCAGTTTAGCATCATTGTAGTTGTTACTGACTGCTTTTCTGTTAGGGAAACTGGAGTTTAAAAGGTATATTGCTGAATGACAAACCATGTTGGAAAGAGAGTGAATGTCAGCATAGGATTCATATTCTGGCACTGAGTACCCATACAAAGTTAAAAGGATCAAAGTTTTAATCCTGGCTCTGACAGGCTATGTATCTTTGGGGAAGTCTTTTGTCTGGACCTTCGTTTCCTTATCTGTAAAATACTAGCCTCTTTCCAAAGTTTCATCCATCTCAGTTTTGTTGTTAAACTTCAGAGCCTACTTTGAAGCTGAAGCCATGTATCAGAAATGGAAAGCCAACTTTCTTCTTGTCCTTTTTGCTTTGTCTGATGTCAAGTCACATTTTGGGAACATGCCCTCCATATTTGTAATCTCAGTTACTTCACAAAGTTACTGCATATAAATTTAATTCAAACGTAAGTCTGGGTGTATCTGGTGTTGAAAATTCTAATAACTTTGCATTTTTGAAGGTTTTTCCTTGATATAGCATCTGATTGTCCTACAAGTGATGCAGTAAATCATAGTCTTTCCTTCATCAGTGACGGCAATGTGCTTGCTTTACATCGTCTACTCTGGAACAATCAGGAGAAAATCGGCCAGTATCTTTCCAGCAACAGGTAAGATTTCCCAGTCATGGGGATAGTGAATACCCTCTGTTTAAATTTAGATTAATAAAATTATTGGTCATGAATAGTGCTTTTTACTTTACATCTTCTTGGACTAAGAATTATGGTTTAGAAAGAGAAAGATTCTTTTTTTCAAAAAAATACAAACAAAAGGTTAAGTCATATTAAATAATCAACAAACCTACCTAGGTTCCAGTGGTTATTATTATTATTTTTTTGTCAAGTTAAGAAATCACAGATTCGCTCTTTGGGTTTTTATGGCTTGCAAACTGTCATAGACCCAGAGAAGTTCAAATTAGCGTTGGCATTTGAATCTGAAGAACAGCTAATTCGTAGGAATTCAGTAATTAAAATATTGTCAGCGTTTTAATTCTATGATAAACTCATTTGTGATACTTTAAGTATATGCAATAAAGCTTTGTATAGAAAATACCAGCCTGACATGGTGGCTTACGCCTGTAATCTCAGCACTTTGGGTGGCCTAGGCAGGCAGATCACCTGAGGGCAAGAGTTCGAGATCAGCCTGGCCAACATGGTGAAACCCTGTCTCTAGTAAAAATGCAAAAATTAACTGGGCATGGTGGCAGACACCTGTAATCCCAGCTACTTGGGAGGCTGAGGCAGAAAAATCGCTTGAACCGGGAGGCGGAGGTTGCAGTGATCCAAGATCGTGCCATTGCACTCCAGCCTGGGCCACAAGAGCTAAACTCCATCTCAGAAATTAAAAAAAAAAAAGAAAATACTTAAAAATTGAAATTATTGATTTGGGCATTGTTTCATTAATCTTGGTAGTCTCTTGTGTATTATAAATTACTTGCTGTCCCATCTAGTTATATAAACTTGTAAAGAGACCAAATTCCTATATATGAGGAGTCCCTAATAAAGGAAAAATGAGTTCAAATTATTTTTAAATGCCAATAAAAATGGTTAGCACATTCACGGGAAAAGTAGTGGACTGTGAAGCTAAGGGTAAGCAATTGGGAGAAGGGAGTTTAAATGACAAGGCATTTTCATCTTTTATGAGTTATTAATGGATTGAAGTAAACATGGTCCTGAGGTCTTTTTGGTGCTATTTACAAATCAGCAGAGACCACCAGCTGACAGTAAAAGGAAAAGCAACCAGTTACAAGTTAAAGAAATGTGTAGCGCAAAATGTGAACTGCTAATTTTTTTTCTAAGTAGTTTGCTGTATCTAGGGATCATAAAGCTGTTGGAAGACGACCTTTTGATAAGATGGCAACACTTCTTGCGTACCTGGGTCCTCCAGAGCACAAGCCCGTGGCAGATACACACTGGTCCAGCCTTAACCTTACCAGTTCAAAGTTTGAGGAATTTATGACTAGGTAAATTACAACCTTGAAATAGTTGATTGCATTCTTTTTGTTTGAGAAGCAGAGTTTGCCCACCAGGCCACTTGTTAGATATGATAGAAGACTATGAGGAAAGATGTATTTAATAATCACATTGCCATGTTTGGGGATCCAACTATATATTATTTATATATATAGGGTGTGTTTTTTATATGTTGATTGTCATAACAATAGTAACAAATCATATTTTATCATCTTGCTTTCATAAGTTTTCACATTTAGTACTTACCAGGGAATGAAGACAACATTATTTTCAAATTATAGTTAAGGAAGATGCAACTCAATGTGAGTAATTGACTTGCTTAAGATTCCACACCTGTTTCATAGGTCTTTTGGTTTTAAGTGAAGGACTTTTCTGCTACACTGTAACATTTTTCAGAACCCTCATAAAGGTTAATGGTTCTGACTTCTTTCAGATTAAGGTCCAGAAAATATAGTATACTTCAGTATTGCTATAAAATTTCTGTGGACTTTTGTTTGAATCCCATTTAGTGGGATTTAGTTTGTGAACCAAAAGATCCTCATTGTTAGACACTTACTCTATGATGATACAATGAGAGTATTTTGCTGAATCTTTTAAAGTACCTTTCGCAGGACTTGATGCTTAATAAGTGCTCCTTGGTGTCTGTGAGTTGAGTGTTATGTTCATAGTTTGTGCCAAAACAGAAAAAAGAGGATCTGATGATGAGAAGTTAAAGATTTGTATATAATATGCCTTGAATTGTAAGTGCTTGTTATTAGTTGTATTGCATATAGGTCATGGTTTTGTATATATAAATCCAAACCAATGATACTGTTAAAAGAATATATGAATATATGAAAGAACGTATAAACATAAGAATGTATGGGTATATAATGTCATTTCCAAATTAATTTTTATTTTTAGCTCTATTAGATTTTTCTCAGTGCAACAAATGTTTATTCCTGTGTAATTAAGGGCATATTTTCCATATAGAATATTCACATTACCTAACTGAAAATTATATACTACAAAAATATAATACCATTTTTAGGCTAATACCTGTGATCCCAACATTTTGAGAGGCCAAGGCAGGAGGATTGCTTGAGGCCAGGAGTTCAAGACCAGCCTGGACAACATAGCAGGACTCTATCTCTACAAATAGTAGAGTATTAACCAGGTGTGGTGGTGCGCACCTGTGGTCCCAGCTACCTGGGAGGCTGAGGTGGGAGGGTTGCTCGAGGATGCAGTGAACTGTGATTGCACCACTGCATTTCCAGCCTAGGTGACAGAATGAGACCTTGTCTATGCAAAAAGAAATGAGTAAAAAGAAATATAAGTAAATATAAATATAAAAATGAATGAATCAAAACAATTTTTAAATTTGACATCACTGAGGACATACTAGCCATTTTTCTAGGAAACTATTTTTATCACTCCTTTTTTTCTAAGATCCTACCTTCCCTTACAAAGCAATCTTTTGTGCTTTTGAAGATTAAGTGATCCAATATGTATAATATACTTAGCGTACTATCTGGTACTTGTAAACTGTTTAATAAATGTTAGATCTTATTTTTGTTCTAAATTCCCACTGATGCTCTTGGAGACCCATTTTCTTTTAAAAAAAAAAATGAAGGTAGCTTTATAATATTTTCAGTTATTAAAAAAATTATTAAATTACTCGATATAGAAATCTAAAGAAGAAAGTAAAAAAAATAAAAATTGTTTATCCTGCCTGTCAGAAATAATTCAGTTAACGTTTGCTGAATAGTCTCCCAGTCATTTATCTATGCACATGTATAATTATTTCTCCTATCAAATGATATCTAGGTTGTTTCCATTAATATTTTTAAAATTCTGACCTGGTACCAGCAGCATGATGGGCTGAGCTAATGCAGTCTCTTTCCCAAGACATAAGACTCAGAAATACTAGGTGTAAAAGAAAATATGTATAGTTTAAAAAATTTAGGCCGAGTGCAGTGGCTCTTGCCTGTAATCCCGGCACTTTGGAAGGCCGAGGTGGGTGGATCACCTGAGGTCAGGAGTTGGAGACAAGCCTGGCCAACATGGTGAAACCTCATCTCTACTAAAAAAAAAAAATATATATATATATATATATATTAGCTGGGCGTGGTGGTGGGCACTTGTAATCCCAGCTACTTGGGAGGCCAAGGCAGGAGAATCGTTTGAACCCTGGAGGCAGAGGTTTCAGTGAGCCGAGATCGCGCCACTGCACTCCAGTCTGGTCAACAAGAGCGAAACTCCGTCTCAAAAAAAAATAAAATTTATAGCTGAAGCTAGTTTCTAAGCAAATTACCTAGCATACAGTCAGTACAGACAGATAAATGGAAAATATGAAAGAGGTTAAGAGATGCAGAAGATAGAATGAGAAGGTCCAAAATATGTCTAGTAGGTGTTCCCTAGAAATTGAGCTCAGTGAGAATGGGGAGAAGTAATATTTGAAAGGCTAATGGATGGATGTTTTCTGGAGTTGATGAATGACGTGTATCTTGAGGTTAAAGAAGCACACTGAGTCTTGAGCAAACTATATAACAATTAAACCAGGCTTTAATACATATGGGAACATAACATATGGTAAAACTGGTATTCAAAATCGAGATTAGGATGGCCTTTCAGTAAATGGTGTTGATACAACTGAGTAATGATCTGTAAAAATACTTTCATACCATTTATGATAGACTCCCATAAATCAAAAAAGCATGAGCAAAGCTATTCAAAATCCATAAACTAGAAAAGATGGATAAAATGAATTCATTAAAAAATCATAAACTTCTGTCTGGGACAAAAACGTCATGAGTAAAAACAATCCTATGGTTAATATCCTTGTCCAATAGTTCTCTTAGAATAGTCCTAAAAGTGCTTTTGTGGTTCAAAGAGTAGTACCTTGAAATTTTTGGTGCATGTTGCCAAATTACCCTTTAGAATGCCTGTTGCTTTTAAAATATTTTTTCATTTTAGTATTTTATTGTTTATCCAGTTAGAGACTTTTTTTACATACTCAGTAGACAACATAAAGCCTCATAGTTACTCTGTTCTTTTTCTTTTAGGCATCAGGTACATGAAAAAGAAGAATTCAAGGCTTTGAAAACGTTAAGTATTTTCTACCAAGCTGGGACTTCCAAAGCTGGGAATCCTATTTTTTATTATGTTGCACGGAGGTAAGACATACTATGTTTTGGTGTCCCTTAACAGAATTTTTTAAATTATAGCAAATATAAAGAGATGGCAAGTTTGGTTTTTCCTAATTGACTTAACAGGAATTGAAGACAAGTTTACCTGGGAGCATATAGCAGGATAAATAGCCTGCCTTTCCTAAAATGATGGTCAGTATCTAGTAGCTGCTTTTGATACTACCCATTTCATACTGGTTTCTCTGTCCTACATCATTTTTTAAAATACTGCCTGCAATGGATTAATTACCAAGAGTTAAAAACCCACAAAGAATATGTTGTTTTCAAGTATATTCTGATTAAATAGTACTCACAACATGATAACTGGGAACTTTTTTTTAAGGAAGAAATAAAACTGTAAAAGCCTATTTCTGAGAACTTTTAAAAATATGCTGTGTAAGATGGCATCAGGGTGATTTAGAAAATAATTCAAAGGAGTGGTGGAAAATACCTGTGAAGATGGTGCAGGGGGTGGCCTGGAAAATGGTTCTTGTTCATGCTGCCCTCAGTTGAGGCTAGTTCCTAGAAAGCCTTTCTGGAAATGTTGTGAGCTCTTCTTTAATAATAGGTATGATGCTTGCCTTGCTTTCCCTACCATTGTCTTTTCTTTCTTGCCTCATTTTACCTTCCTTTTGAAAACTCATCTGTGACATTATTTCGTCAGTTTGACTTCTTCGTATTTACCATGACATACATTCATGGTAATTGAACCTTAGAGACAACATGATATGTAGAGAAACCACTGACTTTGGAATCTCAAGGACCATGTTTAGACTTACTTCTGCTCCTCATTAGTTGTAGACTTAATCTTTACCAGTTTCCTGAATTTAACAGTATTTAACATCCATGACCATTAAGTTAGTAGACTTACATTGTTAGTCAACTTACTAGCCACAGGTGGCAGTGTGTGGGAAACAAATTGAGGTTGAGAAATAGTAGAGAGATGGTGAAGGAAGGTCAGTGGAAGATGGGAAGCTTGTCTAATTGGGTAATTCAGATAGCCTTAAGACCAAGAAGTCCAAAGGACTGGAGCATTAGGGAATCAAGAAAGTAAGAAAATTGCATTGAACCTCCCCCCGCACTCCCCCTGCCTTTTAACAACTCTAAGTAACCCCTCCTCACCTTCCCATGAAAGGCCTCTCTCCAGCTCTCATCTCAGTTGCCATTTCTAAATTGCCAAGATCATTTTAATTTTCGTTTGCACTTGAGATGAACCATATTTGTATTCTAACCCCAACCTTTAATACAACCAGGATATTTTTACTTTCCCTTTGTTGTCTAAGTAAAAAGCAAACATTGTAAGGGAGGTAGAAGACGTGTATCCCCGTCTTCTTTAAAATCTTATTAGTTTACAAATAGCAAAGATTTATGGTAAACAAAGCTGGGTTTTTTTTCAGGATCAGAAACTGTTATATTTGTATTATTGCTCTGTGTTGATCTAGCAAAAACTAAAGGAAAGCAGATTGGACCTGCTGCAGATCCCTTAATGAGATTCAATCAGTTAGGTTTCCATGAAACCTATTGAGTGTTGTGGCTTGAGAGTGCTAAGAATTCTCAGCTCTGCTGCTTATTAGCTGCATAATTTTTTTTTTTTTTTTTTTTTTTTTTGAGATGGAGTTTCACTCTTATTACCCAGGCTGGAGTGCAATGGTGCGATCTCAGCTCACTGCAACCTCCACTTCCTGGGTTCAAGTGATTCTCCTGCCTCATCCTCCCGAGTAGCCGGGATTACAGACATGCACCACCATGCCTGGCTAATTTTGTATTTTTAGTAGAGACGGGGTTTCACCATATTGGCCAGGCTGGTCTCGAACTCCTGACCTCAGGTGATCTGCCTGCCTCAGCCTCCCAAAGTGCTAGGATTACAGGTGTGAGCCACGGCACCTGGCCTTAGCTGCATAATCATAAATAAGTTTATTTTTCCAAATCTGTTGCTTCATCTGTTAAAGCTGGGGTGTGTGCTTATAAAAACTGTCTACCTCCCCTATAAAGTGTTTTTTGACCTGTAAAGTTATGTAAGGAGTAAATTTGAGATTTTCTTTTTTTCTTTCATTCTTTTTTTGGGGAATATGGCACTGTCAGTTTCAGATTTTCAATCCTTTTAGTTTCTTACTTAGACCTACTGGAGCTCCTCCTGGCCTTCATTTTTACCTGGTGTGACAGATGAGTACACAGTACATCAGAGCAGAGCATCCATTTACTCCATTATGAAGGTCTTGTCTGTCTGTATGCCATCAGTTGTGTCAAAGAGCACTTGGGTTTGACTTCTTTTGATATTCCTGCGTTTCTGTGGCTTAGACTACCATGTGTTAAGTGATGCTTTTTGAATTGTGGATTTTCTAATCTCCTTATAGATAGTCCACAGATATTTCAGACTTGAAATGTCCAAAACTTAATTCAGTATATCTTCAAATCAACCTCCTCTTCACACCATATTTCTCTTTCTCAGTAGCATCATCATCCCTTCTAGTTCCCCATCTAGAGACCCTAATCATTTTAAATTCTTTCCTCTTACTTCTTTTATCTTTCTCATTGTTAGTCACCAAATCTTGGTTTTACCTGTGAGATCCTGGGCAATCAATTAAGTTATTTTAGTTATTATTGCAAAGCAGTCATTTGTATTTTCTCAAGAATAGCTTTTAGGAAAAGCATGAATTAGAGCAGAGCCTACCCAGATAAAGAGAACTAGATGACTGTGGTGCTGGAACTGGCTACGCTCTTTGACTGTCTCTTGGTTTTGTGTTCAACTCTTCCTCATGATTTTCTTCTTTCTGTATCCTTTCAGCTTTTGCCCCAGATAGTAACCCCTTCATTGTCTCAGTACTGCATGTCTGAAATTTTAGAAAGAAAATATGATTCAGCTAAAAAGTATCTGCTTGGCAGAAACTTTAATGTTAGGTTCTGGCCAGCCAGTTGATTTCTGGCTGCCCCTACGTCCAGTATGTGCTCCTGGCCCAGCAGTCATGTGATTCAAAATGTGACCACTTGGCTGTGCACAGTGGCTCGTGCCTGTAATCCCAGCACTTTGGGAGGCTGTGGCGGGCAGATCATGAGGTCAGGAGATCAAGACTGTCCTGGCCAACATGATGAAACGCCATCTCTACTAAAACACAAAAAATTAGCCAGGCATGGTGGCGCGCACCTGTAGTCCCAGCTACTCATTAGGCTGAGGCAGGGGAATTGCTTGAACCCGGGAGGCGGAGGTTGCAGTGAGCCAAGATTGCGCCACTTCACTCCAGCCTGGCGACAGAGCAGGACTCTGTCTAAAAAAAAAAAAAAAAATGACCACTCAGTGCTGTTTCTTCATCAGGCGCTGTTCTTAGGTATGTGTTTTAATTTTTTTTTGTTTTGTTTTTGAGATAGGGTCTCACTCTGTTGCCTAGGCTGGAGTGCGGTGACACTATCATGGCTCACTGTAGCCTCTAGCTCCCAGGTTCAAACAGTCCTCCTGCCTCATACTCCCAAGTAGCTGGGAAGACAGGTGTGCGCCACCACAGCTGGCTAATTTTTCTTTTTATTTTTGTAGAGATGAAGTCTTGCTATGTTGCCCAGGCTGGGCTTGAACTCCTGGGCTCAAGCAATCCTCCTGCCTTGGCCTCCTAAAGTGCTGGGACTATAGATGTGAGCCACAATGCCTGGCCTAATTTTTTTTTTTAGTTGGACCTTAATGGACTAATATTACTGTTAGATACCTTGGCAATGTCTTTCGAAACCATTTTCTCCCACTGCATTGCTGGAACTCTGACAGTGTCTTACCTATACTAATGTAGCATTATTCTCCTCCTCCTTCATCCCCAGATGACTACTTCTAGGTAATCTTAACATTTCTTCTGGAGCCAGTTTCTAGTAGAAAGCTTGTCTCTCCCATTGACTCCCTGCATAAAGTCCAAGTTCTGTAGTCAAACATGCAAGGTAATTTTGGCCTAATTTACTTTTCTAATCTTTTCCTTCTATTCCATCCTATATACTTACGCTCTTGCCCTGTGGTAAAGTAGCATAATACAAGGACATTGTTGCAACATTGTTTATACAGTGACAACAAAAAGGAAAACAATAGAGCTGTGTTTCGAAAGGGGGATTGTTGAATAAATGATGATACATTTATATTAGGGAATAATGCAATGTGTTGATTTTGCTTGTTAAAAGTGACAGAAAAGCAATTCAAATTTACGTGTGCCAAAAAGGAATTTACTGACTCATATGCCTAAGAAAATCAAGAGATGTACTAGTTTCTTGCATGACTAGGTGCAGAGCTTTGAACAATATCATCTACAGAACATTTGTCTTCTCTGGCTCTTAACTCTACTTTCTTTGTGTCGGTTTTATTCCCAAGCAGCTCCTCCCAAGTTTTGGCCAGTAATGGTTTGTGTTCTCCCAGCTTAACAATCCCAGTGGAAAAACACCTCTTTCTCAGTTTTGTGGTTTCAGCAAAAGTGGTTGGTCTTACTGGCCTGGTGTGAGTCACATGCCGGTTCCTAAGGCAGTTACTATGGCAAAGGGGATGGAATTTCTTGGTTATCTAGACCTGGATCATGTGCCCCTTCCTGGAATGCAGTGGTAAAGCCAGCCCTATCCAAATTGCATGAACTAAAAGGAGGGCATAGGGGCAGGGTTTTCACAAAGGAAAATTGAATTGCTGTTATCAGAATGAGGAAAAATGGATGCTGGACAGGCAGAACTAGCAGAAGTCCTCTACATCCAGCTTTTAAAAGGCCCAGAAAGATGACTCTGACACTTACCTTACAAGGTAGACGACAATGTGTGTGTGTACCTGCACATGTGTATGTGTAGACTGAGTAATGTATGAAATTATATATATTAACTGTTCACATTGCTTATCTCGGAAGTATGATTGGAGGAGATAGAGGACCAATTTAATATTTCTGTTATTTTTCTCTATGTTATTTGGCTTGCCAGGAGCATATATTATTTTAGTAAGAATAATTAAAAATATAAAACCCCAAAGTGGCTGGACGTGGTGGCTCACA